TGAAAAGACACACCTGTCTACGCGCAGATTCTTTTATTATTATTTTTTAATCACCAAGTGTTATGCGAAAATAAAAATGAAAATATTTATGAAAAAAGCAAATTGCTCTTTGTCACAATATTTCTTTCACGAAAAATGGAAATACCAGAGATATAGTTACTTGAATGCACTTTTTGATTATTCAAACGTCCCAAAGGGTTAATCTTTCAATAATGCAAATGCAAATCTAGACAAAAATTTTAAATATATTTGCTCGCGTCATTTTTCCAATGTGATAAGAAACGAACCCTTTTATTAGATTCTTTTTCATTATTTTCATTATTTTTTATTTACAACATGAGAAAATGTTCATAAATTAAAAAGGGACGACTGAAGTGTACTTCTATGAAACTTTAAGAGTGCCCAAAGCATAGATTTACGACATTAATCATACAAGCGGTTAAATTATATTTTACAAAACATATTGAACAGTCTAAAAATTTGGCGATATTTAAACATTGTATAAAAATATTTATAAAAAATGTACATGCGCGCTCTGCTTAAAAAGGATAAAGTTAGTATTATTTATGAATGTACTAATTTACAAACAATCTCGTCAAACGGAACCGTCATTTTTGTATATTTGAATATTGAACTTCAATGACTTTTTTCTCATTTGTTTTGAAAAGCATTCGTTTTTTTCTATTTCGATAATGCGTTTTTTTGTTTCAAATTGAATGGCAATTCCTCTTATTTTGTACAAGTATTTTACATTCAGCTTCGATTTCTCCTACTTAAAATTGAACAAATAAAACGGTAAATGTTATGGTGGCCGGTAGCGTCCATTTTAAACCCGCGAGAAATTTTACCGTCAGTTTATAAAATGTTGCAAACAACTTTTAAATCCATCAGATTTTATTACGCTATTGTTAAAATGTCGCGGCTTATAGAAACCCTCGAGTTTTTCTGTCACACTTCTGTCGTAAAAAGTCAAGATTTTCGCATAATATGATTTTATTCAACTCGTTCAATAAATTTAGTATTAAACCTACACTCATTCAATATCCTCTATTTTTACGACTTTTGAATATGTAACTTTTACAGATTTTGACTGAAAAGTTGTCTTTTCGCCGAATTCATTTGTTTTCGTCTTGTTGGGCGGCATTTTGTTCACGAATATCAAATTCATTAAATTTCGGTTTGTCGCGCAGTGTCTTGTACTGACATCGGGATTATTATAAAGAAATATGATCTTTTAACTTTTTGTCTTTATAGACACCGGCGAATTATAAATTGTAAAGAATTATAAAAAAAACCTTGTGATTTGCTGAATATTCTTCGTGAGGCCTCTAAAATGAGTAATAAAGAAAAGTGATCTACTAGTTAACTAGTATTGTTAATAAGGACGTCATTTAAAATAAATAGGAAAGAAATATTCTCTGTGAGGACACCGGCTATATATATAGTTAAAGTAGTGATGTACTAACCATTTTTGTGAGGACACCGAGTAAAGTGATGTACAGCCATTCTTTACGACAGTAAAATGATGTACTAACCACCTTTTGTGAGGAATTCACCAATGACTAGTAAAATAAAATCATGTACAACCATTTTTTGTGAGGAAACCGTCAGTAAATATTAAAATGAAAACCAGAAATCAATGGTAAAGTAAAGTACTAATCGTCTTGCGCGAGGACTTCCGAAATAAATAGTAAAATAAAGTGATGTAACAACTTTTCTTTGTGAGGACGCCGGAAATAAATAGTAAAGTAAAGTGATGTATTGTGGGGACACTGGGAATAAATAGTAAAGTAAAGTGATAAAACAACTTTTCTTTCTGAGGACACCTGAAATAAATAGTAAGGTTTAAGTGATAAAACAACTTTTCTTTGTGAGGACACCGGAAATAAATATTAAAATAAAGTGATGTAACAACTTTTCTTTGTGAGGACACCGGAAATAAATAGTAAAGTAAAGTGATAAAACAACTTTTCTTTCTAAGGACACCTGAAATAAATAGTAAGGTTTAAGTGATAAAACAACTTTTCTTTGTGAGGACACCGGAAATAAATATTAAAATAAAGTGATGTAACAACTTTTCTTTGTGAGGACACCGGAAATAAATAGTAAAGTAAAGTGATAAAACAACTTTTCTTTCTAAGTAAACCTGGCTACTATTATAATTGTTTACAAATGGAACAACTGGTATATATAACCCAATGGTCAATATTGAACTAGTAATATATATAAAGTGACCGTTGAATATGAATTATTTAGTTACTTTCATTCATATTGCATGGAATTGAGAGAGCAAAAATCTTTACCTGTTTTGATCTTTGTATTAAAGTGTGACACAGAAATTTGATTTTGTGGATAATGTAAACTGAAAAAATGCGCACTATCTTTTGGACTTTATCTTGGTATATGTAAAAGAACTCGCATGACGGTACTGATATCATTTACTCATTATTTTTAGCTTTTCTTTTCAATCGTTATACATGTATTTTTTTTTTGGAGTTTCTTTACTCTATTGGCTTTCCTATCTTTATTCTTGGCATTTTTTATATTTATTTTTGGCTGTCCTATCATTATTCTTGTATTTTTATATTTATTTTGGGCTTTTCTGACTTTATTTTTTGTCTTTTCTATCTTTATTTTAGCTTTCCTATCTTTATTTTTGTCTTTCCTGTCTATATTTTGGCTTTTCAAGCATTATTATTGGCTTTCTTATCTTTATTTTTGGCTTTCCTATCTTTATTTTTGATTATTTTTGGTTTTCTTATCTTTATTTTTGGTTTTCCTATGTTTATGTTTTGTTTTTCTGTCTTCTATCCGTTATTATAGATGAACTTTAAACGAGAAATATTAATTGAATGCACGTTTTGATTATTCAAACGTCCCAAAGGGTAAATCTTCCAATAATGCAAATACAAATCTAGACAGCTTTTGAATATATTTGTTCGCGTCATTTTTCCAATGTGATAAGAAACAAACCATTTTATTTTATGCTTTTCAGTGGATTACTGATTTATCCGTGAAAATTATATTTGATAATTTCACAGTGAAAATTATCAAAATATAATTTCACTTTTTTCAATGACGAAACTACTTTTTTAAGATTTTCCCCATGTGGTACCTCAATTTTATTTTTACTGACAATTCTGACAATATCAGGCTGTTAAAAAAATAGCAAAGCTGAAATAGATAAATAACTTAAATGTCAAAAGTAATAAAGAGAGAAAACTTACTTCTATTCCTTCAAATTCCAATCACAAAATTTCGTCTCTAAATTTTTTTGTTTCGTTTTTACAGTCTGAAAAATACATTCCTTCCCCATGCAAAACTGCTCTTGATGACATTTGGGCATATTAAAGTATCCTACGAGCAATAACTGCCGTATGCTTTATGAAAAATTGAAAAGCATTGACAGCTATCACTCGTAAAATAAGTAAATTAACCCAGCGTTCCTTACAATGCCTTAGCAAGCTTCCAAGTTTTCCATTTTCCTAGCTCCTTTTCTGAATGTTTTCACTTCTGACAACACTTATTTTTTGTCTGTTACAATCCTCAAATAAGTTTTCTTTCTTTTAAAAAGGTGTATGACTAACAAATCCAAATTATATCCTTCTGTATCTTACACAATTATTTTCCTCCCATGAAATACACGACTTTAAAAAATGGCTGCCGTTTACATTTTACAAAGCCAGGTCTAATATAAATTCGCAGTAAGTAACAGAAATATGGATGGATGGTTGGACTTTTTCTCCTACAAGAATTGTTTGTTTTTATTATTAAAACAAGCGATCATTCATATTTTTTTAATAAAATGAATAAATATCACATTCATTTAACCTTCATTGGCGGACTTATTTTTCAGCTCAAGACTTCTTGTTTTTAATGAGAAATTCCCTCTAAATGGGGCTCTCAATGGGGGAAACAGATTTTAATATTAACGTTAAAATTATGGAAATTTCGTTTTAACTTGTTTTAAAGCATAAAATAAAAAGAAAATTTGTCTGTTTGTTGTGTAAGATGTAATTTTATTTCATCTCGTGAACTTTAAAAACAGTATTCTCACTCGTGGCTACGCCACTCGTGAGAATACTGTTTTTAAAGCCCACTCGATGAAATAAAATTTCATCTTACACACAAACAAACAAATATCCTCTATTTATTTGTTGTTGTTTTTTTTTTGTTTTTTTTTTCATTATTTTATTTATTTATTTTTTTATTTTTAACATGAGAAAATGTTCATAAATTAAAAGTGGAGGACTGAAGTGTACTTCTATGAAAGAGTGCCCATAGCATAGATTTACGGCATTAGTCATAAAAGTGGTTAAATTTTATTTTACAAAACATATTAAACGGTCTTTAAAAAAATTTGCGATATGTAAACATTGTATAAAAATATTTATAAAAAATGTACATGCGCGCTCTGCTTAAAAAGGATAAAGTAAGCATTATTTATGAATGTACTAATTTACGAACTATCTCGTCAAACGGAACCGTCATTTTTGTATATTTGAATGATAAACTTCAATGACTTTTTTCTCATTTGTTTTGAAAAGCATTCGTTTGTTCTATTTCGATAATGCGCTTTTTTGTTTCAAATTGAATGGCAATTCCTCTTATTTTGTACAAGAATTTTACATTCAACTTCGATTTCTCCTACTTAACATCGATAAATTATGGTGGCCGGTAGCGTTCATTTTAAAGCCGCGAGAAATTTTACCCTCAGTTTATAAAAAGTCGCAAGCAACTTTTACATCCGTGAGATTTTATGTCGCTATTGTTAAAATCTCGCGACTTATAGAAACTTTCGAGTTTTTCTGTCACACTTCTGTCGTAAAAAGTACAGTTTTAGCAGGAAACTGCGACATTTTATGATGAAACGATAAAATTTCTCGCTGGTTACAAATGGCCGCAACCGGCCACCATAGTATTTTTTTTAAAATCTGACTTTTGTTATGTAACAAAGCTTTATAATTGGTCACCCAGCGTAACCCCCTAAGGTATAATAATAATAATTGAACAGTTGGTCACACTACCTTTATTTGTCCATTTTTATGTTGAACCAATCAATTTATAGCGGCGTTCTGGTTTATTTAAATAATAGAAATATCGTTCAGAAATATCGATACGAAGTAAAAATAAAATAAGTTGGATTAATATATATTCGTAATATAATATGGCTTCTGTGGAAATATTTGCGTACAATTATGTGAAATATACATGAAATTACTTGTTTTTATACCAGCAGAAAAATTACACAGAGTAAGTTAATAAGTTAATATTTTATGTTTATTAAATTTTCTTTCAAACGTCATGTCTGTACGGAAGAGTATAGTATACTGACCCCCTCCCCTTATATAATTTATATTCCAGTTTAAATAAGTCGATACATGAGTACAATATAGTTTTAAAAAGTTATTGATATAGTTCATATTGATCTTTTCACTTCTTTGGCTACTATACTGCTAAAGATATGTATTTTTAACTTAAGACTTTATTAAAGACTTACTTTTATTTATAAGAATTATGTTCATTGAAATTCTACTTTTAAAAGCAGACGTTTCCTTGGGGTAAACCGCTTTTATTAATTTTAGAAAAGTATGTTTCCGTGGCATTATTTATTCGACAGCTATAGATATGATATAAGCACACATATGTATTTATTCTATACCTGAGTTTTTATTAAATGGATGTTGTATATGTTTCACAAGGTAGTTTAAGAATAAGTATCGGAGTCGATGTAAACGAACCTATAACTAATACTAAAAGGTAGATTTATTGCAACGGTGATCGTTTCTCCTAAAAAAAAACTGCCATTTTTTAATGACATTATATATTCATACTGTGACCACCTTTAGTGTGTAGAATTTTAAATATAACGTATCTACTTTATGCGAAGCCAAACTAGAACTGCCACTATCATGGCGTGAATACCCCCGCATACCACTTTGTCAGAATCAACAGTGGCCATTTAGAGCTCAAGGACAACCTCCCTACCAAATCTGAGGTTAGTAAACCAGTGCATTGCTAAGTTATGTATTCTACATGCTTCAAATGTGAAAATGTCAAAATCAATACATTGCTGACAGGACATTCTTTAGCAATTGAGAAGAAAAGCTTTTTTTTTTGTCAAGGTCCCTGTGACCTTGACCTTTCACCCAGTGACCTCAAAATCAATAGGGGTCTTCTTATAGTCATGATCAACATCCATGCCAAATATGAAGACTGTGGGTCAAAGGAATCTTAAGTTAATGGGTGGACAAACTTTTTGAAGTCAAAGTCCCTATGACCTTGACCTTTGATCCAGTGACCTCAAAATCAAAAGGGGTCATCTACTAATCATGATCAACATCCATGCCAAATATGACGACTGTAGGTCAAAGGAATCTTAAGTTATTGGGCGGACAAGCTTTTTGAAGTAAAGGCCCCTGTGACCTTGACCTTTGACCTAGTGACCTCAAAATCAATAGGGGTCATCTACTAATCATGACTAACCTTTATGCCAAATATGACAACTGTAGGTCAAAGGAATCTTAAGTTATTGGGCGGACAAGCTTTTTGAAGTCAAGGCCCCTGCGACCTTGACCTTTGACCTAGTGACCTCAAAATCAATAGGGGTCATCTACTAATCATGACTAACCTCCATGCCAAATATGACGACTGTAGGTCAAAGGAATCTTAAGTTATTGGGCGGACAAGCTTTTTTGAAGTCAAGGCCCCTGTGACCTTGACCTTTGACCTAGTGACCTCAAAATCAATAGGGGTCATCTACTAATCATGACTAACCTCCATGCCAAATATGACGACTGTAGGTCAAAGGAATCTTGAGTTATTGGGCGGACAAGCTTTTTGAAGTCAAGGCCCCTGTGACCTTGACCTTTGACCTAGTGACCTCAAAATCAATAGGGGTCATCTACTAATCATGACTAACCTCCATGCCAAATTTGAAGACTAAGGGTCAAAGGAATCTTAAGTTATTGGGCGGACAAGCTTTTTGAAGTCAAGGCCCCTGTGACCTTGACCTTTGACCTAGTGACCTCAAAATCAATAGGGGTCATCTACTAATCATGACTAACCTCCATGCCAAAAATGAAGACTAAGGGTCAAAGGAATCTTAAGTTATTGGGCGGACAAGAAAAAACCGACGGACGGACGGACGGACGGCCGGACGGACGGACAGCCGGACGGACGGACAAGCTGATTCCAGTATACCCCCCTTACAACTTTGTTGTGCGGGGGTATAAATATGCTTATTTCATATTTATAAAAAGACTAAATTTAGCAATTATCAATATTTCCTAATATCAAATTTGAGCATGTATATCTTTGAATGTTCGAATTTTTTATTATAATACTTTGTATGATGTATGTATGCTTTTGTTTATAATGTATATGTCTATCTTTGCCATACAGTATACTTTCTTTGTAATAATTGCCAAAGACATTTTGACGTCGATTGCCAATACATTTTGAAACCTTGCAAAAATGATAAATTAATTTTTGTTAGCTATACTTTATTTTGTCATAGTTTATACCAGAAATTGTGAAAAATGTATCATATGTGATGTTATGATAACAAGTCACAAAAATGTTACTTTGTGTCACACAAAGTAATAGTTATCGACTGTTAATGCAAGTGTACCACGTGACTTATGAATTTGTAGTGTTACAGGGTAACAGTATTTTATACAAATCAAATCAAATCAAAATTTATTTATTGTCGGTATATAACATTTCACATATACCGACAATAAATAAATTTTGATTTGATTTGATTTGATTTGTTTATACAGTATAAAATCTGGCCACATGGTCTAAAGAAAATAAAATAAAATCATCATAAAATCATCACAGTAAGGACTTACCAAAGACGTACAAATATGCATAATAAAAATAAAAAAAACGTGAATAGTAAAATTTTGAGCATTATATATGTTTGACAGATTCCATGATAGCAAACTATTAAGCTGCAGGTGAAGGGCTCTGCAAAGGTACCCCGTTCTTGCCTGAAATAGTGCTCAGCCTAGAATGTAAAAAGCTGAAAAGTCACTAAATAACATTTAAAGTTAAGTGTCGATATAAATTATTACAACTCTCCCTGTCTTTCTCTCGTAACATGTAACATTCTTTTTTATCTTTGATATTTATCATATAGGCCCCAAAGCAAATTGGCCAGAAAGTATTAATTAATATTTGTTGATAACGATCAATTTTAACATTCGGCCAAAATTACGCACGCTAATATTACGATTTCGTACGAAAATCAATTTAAAAAAGTAATAATATGTAAAGGTACTTTATCACGTGACGTCGCTTGTTTTGTCAATGTTATCATGTGTGTGTAGATAGGTTTATTCATACTGGCCGCCGGAAATAACCATATGGGCCAGATTATCTGCGCACTTGCTGGTCCGATCGTAGAGCCGACATCAGCGGCGACTTGTCATGCAGATCTTCCCGGAACCTGTCCTTCGTTCGTTGGTGGTTGAAGATGACGACAATACTTTCCAATGCATCGCTTTTCCGTTGGCTTCATGTAACAAAAACGGCTCTTGTTAGCGCCACCCTCCCGAGTTAGTCACGGCAGGTTGACCAATCACCTCTGGTATTTGAGAAGATTTGACATTGATCTTCCGTATGCCTTCTCTGCGACGTGCACTCCTCGGGAGGGATTTGGAGAAGAATGTTATCATGAAAACAATTGCGTTTTTATATAGTAGTCCGACAAACGGTGATGTGTCCGTTCTTCGGCGTTTTCATGATACCACTTATTCACAATTCGTTGTTATTTTACAGATACTTTACTCCCGCCACAGAAATGTTCTTAACCTTTAACTCGCTGAATTGGCCAATCTTTGGATAGGGAACAGTCCATTCAAAGTTTAAGGGATTTCAATATTAACAAAAAACAAACAACAACAACAAACAAAAAAGAGCTGCCAACGATATAAAGCCTGGTCAGATTGTATTGACGTACCGGTTGGCTTGGCTCTATATTGGTGGAGAAGGCTATTTTCATTTGGGTCGCACGCAAGAGATTGGATCATTCTTATATAATATGTATATTTAGTTCTGTATCACTTAAAAATAAAGTTCTATATAACTTTAATAGACTATCTGAATAAATAAAGTCATGATTTCTTTCTAACATTTCAGATCATAAAAAGACAGATAAAGAAATGAAAGAAAAGACCCAGAATAAATATGCACCAAAGGTCGTGTTTTGGTATGTGTGTTCACAATCTCTTAAGTATACATACACGAGAACGACATTCAGAACAACATTCCATCTCTTTCAAAAATTTCCCCCAACGAAATGTGAAGGTGGCACGAAATTCGGCTTAATGTTTGTTCTTTATTAAAAGTTAAATTGAAATGTGAAAAATGCACGAATTCTGATGAATATTCCCCTCTTTATCAAATTAAGGCAGAAATTTGAAGCAGGCGCGACATTCAGCTCAACGTTTGTTCTATATGAGACTTGAGGCTTGCTCAACGTTATGCAATTTGAAGCTGGCTCGACGTTATTCAGCTATAACCATGCCTTTCCAACATCGTGCTGAATGTTTTGCTGAATGTCGTTCTAGCTCCACGTTGTAGATCGACATTCAACTACATGTACATTGCTACACGATAGTGTTCAGAAAACGGTTGAAGTCTGTCTCTTTGCTAAAGTTCACACACATTCACATTTCTATAAAGTTTTGAATATCCTTTTTATTTTATTTTATTTTTTGTTCTTTCGAGGTGGGGGGCTGGGTGGAGGGAGTCTATGCTTTACTATAAAATGTAAGAAGAGCCGAGCATGATGATGCCTAGAAACAGCCATGTAGAATCAATTCTTCTATATTTTCTTTGTCTTTTTCAGGACTTCGTTTTTCGTGATAGTGTTTGCCTTCGTCGCCATTACGTCGGATTCGCTGGGCTACAAACTCCCAGTACTTGTTCCCGACACAAGAAACGCGTCCTTATACGATTTCTCCCACAAACAGCCATTCTATGAGAACACGTCATCAGGAAAAAGCACATTTACAGCAAGAAATACATTTCACACATCCTCTCCAAAGAACATTTCTACAACTACTATATCCAATATGACGACAACAATAGATTCTAAATCTCTTGCAGTCATGAAAACGCACGTGGCGTTTTTGAAAGTCCACAAAGCAGGGTCGACAACTATGCAAAACCTTTTTTTCAGATTTGGTATTCGGCATAATTTAAATATTCTCCTTCCGAGAAGAGGCAACTATCTAAATTCACCGGGTCAGAAGCTACCATTAAAGTCTGGTCAACACTACGATATTTTTGCATGCCACACCGTTTATAACACGAAGTGGTTTAAAAGCCTACTTCCGGCAGATTCGGTAAATATCGCCATCGTCCGTGAGCCGGTCGAGAGAATGATCAGTTCAGCATACTATTATAGGGATATTTTTGGTGTTAAATACTTAAAAAGAATTCCATCCGGCAATTTCATTCATAATCTCGTCAACTTTCCTGAAAAATACAATTCAGCATTTTTCTCGCAGACAAGAAACTCCATGGGTAAAGATTTCGGATTTCGCAATGGTATTCAGCAAAATGAAAAGGATCAAATAAAATCATATTTGGATAAACTCAATTCGGAATTCTTACTCGTTATGATTATGGAAAAATTTGACGAATCTTTAGTCATGTTGAAAAGGCTTCTTAACTGGTCATTTATTGATATTATTTATCTCAAAACCAACTCACATAAGCATAATCCAATTGTGCTTAATGCTACAGAAATAGCAAACTTTAGAAAAACAAGCTATTTAGACTATGAAATTTATGATTATTTTACCGAAGTATTTGAAACAAAGTTAAAAACGATAGGAAATGATTTCTACGATGAAGTGAAGTTTTTTCAAAATGTTTTAGATCGAGTCCATGATTTTTGCTCGGCTGGGAAAGAAGCCTCCTCGGTGTCAATTTTAAGTTCGAAATGGGATAAACAGTTTGAAGTGAAAACTAGTGATTGTCAGTTGATGAACACCAAGGAAATACAATTCATTAATAAACTTCGTTCAAATACTATGAAACGACGGAAGTAATATATAGAAAACACGTTTGTTGTTGATGACCCCTTTCATACACCATTCAATCTGAATAAGAATTATTACATTCTACTACGGAAGCGGTGAAATGATTTTTTTTAAATTAAATTTGCTAGTGTGATGGTATACCGAAGGGCGTTTAAAACTTTTGAGATTAGCAAAATGCGTGATGAATTTAACAATATAAACATGATACTAAGATGTCATGTGAGTGGATGTGTTGAGAAGCCTTGCAAACGCTCTGTAGCGGTTACTTCCCCTGATCAGTTCATAAAGAAAGCGTACGTGATGTTCAATATTCTATCACAAGAATATTTTGAGCGATGGAATTGAGCAACGGCATGTCTATTCCATAACGTGTATAAATGTGCATGTTCAGTCGGAACTCCTCGGGCGACTTCGATAAGTCTTACATAATTGTCGGAGATAGCCGAGTTATTACGATGAGTGCATGCAACAACGGGAATTGTTTGAACGCATTATGCGATTTATGGAATTCTGTGTCAAATCTCATTATGAGACATGACACGACTAAGAAAACACGTGTCACAAACAGACGATATTAGAGTTGAGTCACAAGATATAAATAAGTGCAAGATGGCGTTCTTAAACATTTGTGTCAAAATCTGATTGAATTTTAATGTATATGTAAATATTAGAAACCATGCGTAAAACTTTCTTTTTTGTTTTCGTGTGACTTACTTTCCAGATATTGCTCGATCTACTTACTATACATCTGAAAAGAACTCTTTTACTCTACAGATCTTTCAGCAAGATTTTATATGGACCTCTACGATATAAAATGTCAATATTATGCTTGGTTTTGTGTTTTTAATGAAGGAAGAAAGCTTATTTTCATTCATTTTGGTACAATATTATACCGTCTCGTGTGACTTACTATAGCTGCATTTGTAATTTTCACGCAATACAAACAATGTTCTCAAAAACCATAAAAGTAAGACAATAAACTTGGTATTTATATTTAAAGAAAGTTGCCGTGCATATGATAGGCTAGGTCTAGTTTGGATTAAAGAAACGTTTTTCACCTAAATTTATAATAATAATGAACTTACCGGGGCTCAGAAGTCGCCATTACTCGTTTGTATAACTTTACAGTCACGTGATTACCTCCGGACATTTGTATATAAAATTATATTGTTTTAAACACCAAATAAACACGTTTCACTGATGCCAAAGTAAGAGAAAATCAACTGAACAGTGCGTAATGTTAAGTTAAACCCTCAAAATACACATAAATGGTATCGGGCCCACCACACTGCGTTGCAATCGAATCAACCACCGTCTGCTTTGTAATCGTTTTTGTCAATCCTTTTATAAAAAGGCAATAACAATTTCCAAAATTTCCAAAATACGGTTGTTTTGTGTAAGTATCATACATAAGATGTGATTTTGGTGTATGTAGGGGTCGTTTTGCACCCATTTTCAAACATCATGATCCTGTAATGTGTCCAGCTGTGTGTGGAGGGGGGGATTTGCTTGTTTCTTACGGCATGTCTTGGTGTCCTGGTAAAGCTTCCAAAAATTAAATTATACTGATAGACATTTATCTGAACCATCTTTGCTTCTATTTCATTCTTGCAGTAAGATGGAACTCAATAATACTTTACTACAATAATGACAAATTATTTTACGTTACCAGCTAACAAAGATCAAACATGCTCCTAAAGAAGGAAAAAAGACTTGTTTCTGCTGAGGTATAATGCATGGTGGCTAATTTGTGACATTCGTGTTTTCGACCCGCGACCCCACCAAGCGAAAAGTAGAGAATTAACAAGTGAAAATGGCGGGGCTCTGAGCGAAAACACGCTAATTAGCGAGAGCGCTGGGCGAAGTTAATAAACAAAAGCTAATTTTCTCCTCCGCTAATTAGCGTGTTTTCGCTCCGAGCCCCACCATTTTAACTTTTTAATTCTCGACTTTTAGCTTGGGCGCGGGGCAAAAAATATTATCTTTTAAACTCCACCCCGCTAATGAAAGTGTTTTCGCTCCGCGCTCGCGCCATTTTCACTCGTTAATACTCGACTATTCGCTTGGCGGAATTGCGGGACGAAAACACGCTAACTACCGGAGGGCGCGGGCGAAGTTTTATTTTTTAAACTTCGCCCCGCGCCCTCGCTTATAAGCGTGTTTTTAATCCGCGCCACCGCCGTTTTTTTCTCTTAAATCTCGCTCTGCATCCCCGCGGTGCAACGTCCTATTTGTTAAACTTCGCCCCGCGCTGCCGCTAATTAGCACGTTTTCGCTCTCCGCGACTCCGCAATTTTAAATTGTTAATTCTCCACTTTTGCTTGGCGTGGTCGCCGGGCGAAACACGAATGGCACCAATCAGCCACCATTATAGTTATTTTCTTAGAATGCATTGTTAAAAAAAAAAAAATATCTATACTTCATTTTTGTCATAGTATATACAAGAAACTGTGAAACTTGTTAACAAGCTGTTTCATTGTGTCGCATATGTTTTTGTTAATGAGTATATAATATATAGTCATTATTTTTTATTACATGCTTTACTCAGTACAGTAGAAAGTGAAATTATAGTTGATAATTTTCACCCTGAAATTATATTTGATCATTTTCATTGTAGCCTGACTATATTTGAATGCGGTTAAGACAAAATGGAGTTTTATGAACAGGAATAAATTCCGTCGTATGTAAATTTTGCTTAATTAGGAGAAGTAAGTAAATAATTGCATACATTGTGTTGAAAATGTTACAAAAATTGAGACATATAACAGAACTAAATTTCAACATTGGTACGTTGACGTGATGATGTTATGGCGTCATGAAGAAGAACAAATGTCGTTACGCGGCAAAACAAGTAAAACTGTCCAGACATGAATGTGTTTCTTCAAACTCGTCTCGAGAGAATGAGTACCTTCAAACTTTAAGTGTGACTTTGACCTTGAAGGTATAGACATGGGTCTTGGATGCAAACATGTTTTCTTGATGTGGTAGACATTGATGCCTAGTAATTTTAAAATCCTTCGATGCATGACAAAGTTACGGTCTATACACGAATGTGTGTACCTATAAACTCTAAACTTCAAAATAGTTATGTGACCTTGACCTCTGAGTTAGAGACGAGATTTTTGCACGCAACACATTGTCTTGATGTGGTAGACATTTTACCAAGTTATTCTAAAATCCTTCGATGCATGACAAAGTTACAGTTCGGACACGAATGTGTGTATCTATAAACTCTTATAATGATAATGAAAATTCAAAATGAATTGTGACCTTTATCTTTGCGGTAGGGACGTGATTCTTGTACGCGACACATTGCTTTGATGTGGTAGACATTTATGCCTAGTTATTTTAAAATCCTTTGATGCATGTCAAAGTTGTACCTATTAACTCTAATTGTCATAATGTGAAACTTCAAAATTTTAGTGTGACCTTGACTTTTGAGGTAGGGACGTGGTTCTTGGACAGGACACGTCTTCTTGACGTGGTAGACATTTGTACCAACCTATTTTAAGATACCTCAATGTATGACAAAGTTACAGTCCGGCCACGAATGAATTTGGGACGCACAGACGGACAGACAGACAGACGGACGGCTTTTTATGAAAATGTTGTGCCGCTATCTATATAAGTAATACATAAAGCATGTATACCTTTATGCCTTACATTAAAATCCGTATGATTTTCTTCGGAATTCAACAATTACCGACAGGAATCGAGCGCGCCTTCTTCTCTGATAGCTCTTGTTTTTTTTTCTTGTTTTTTTTTTATAAAGGGAGGTGATTTGTAATACTTGTTGTAAAGGTAATTATATAAAGTACAATATTTCGAACACATTACATTACGTTACATTACCTGTACAAAAATTCAAGCTCAAAGATGGCCCTTTGTATATTTTTATCAAAATCAAGAAAATCATACATGTACATGTACAAGCACTGACCCGCAGGCAAACAAAGACACACAAACACACATGTATCCGTACACGCGAGGGGTTAATGGAAGATAGATAAACACATTATTTTTTTTTGACAAAAAAATACGCATTTCTTCCAATCCGTGACGCTGACTCTAAACAAAAGGCGAAACCTAATAGGACGAGAGAAAAATACCATGTGCTAACTATAATTATTCAATAATTTTCTACCAGTGTAAATGATACATTTTACTACATTTTATTACTGAAGCATTTACCAGTAAAAATAAACCGAATTACAATAAAATTAAAATGCTTTTAGAAAATTTAAAACATTTCTGAGGCATAATGGGGCTTTAAAGCGGTACGTATGTAAAATTTGAATGATATTTAACAGATATAAGAAAATTTTTGTCCGAAGCATATCTCCTACACGCATGGAGACATTTTAATGAAACTACGTAGAAATGTTCAACACTATGAGAAGCTATGTGGCGCCTATGAACCAAATCTCACGGTCAAAGATCAAGGTCACACTAAGAGGTCAGTGAAAGACACTTGTCCGGAGCAAAACTTCTACATGCATTAAAGCATTTCAATATAACTTGGCACAAATGCTCATTATTGTAAGGCAGAGTGTCGCCTTCAAAATTTAGGTCCTTGTGGCCAAGGTCCAGGTCACACTTTAGGGTCAAAATTCAGATAAAAAAATGAAAATGTGTATTTCGACCATTTGGTCATCATTTATTGAGGTATCGAAACACAAATGGTCATTATCATGACTACTGGTGCAAAACATGTGATTAAAGGTTAATATATGCAAGGTCAGGGTCACTAAAGATGAAAGTCAAGGTGACTAAAGATGTTAAAATATAGAGATTTTGTCCAGAGCATATCTCCTACACATATGGAAGGATTCTAATAGAACTGCATAGAAATGTTTATCACTATCACAGGCAGTGCTATGCGCATTAACTAGGTCTTTACGTCAAAGGTCAATATCACACTTAGAGGTCATTAAAAAACACTTGTTTGGAGCAAAACTTCTATATGCAAGAAGGGATTTCAATAAGACTGGGCACAAATGTTCAACATTTAAAGGCGGAATATCTAGTGTAAAATTTATGTCCCTGTGGTCAAGTTCAATGTCACAAATATGGATCAAAGTTCAGATAAAAATAGAAAATATGTATTCGCACTATTTAGTCATCATTTATTGAGGGATTGAAACACAAATTGTCATTATCATGACTACTGGCTTGAAACATGTAATTTAGGTTCATATTTGCAAGGTCAAGGTCACTAAAGATGATAAAATTTAGAGATTTTGTCCAGAGAATATCTCCTACACATATAGAAGGATTCTAATGAAACTTCATACAAATGTCTACCACTATAAGAAGCAGTGTCATGCGCATAAACTAGGTCTTCAGGTAAAAAGTCAGGGTCACACTTTAAGATCATTGGAAAACGCTTGTCCGGAAAGAAACTTCTACATGCATAAATGGACTTCAATATAACCTAGTACAAATGTTCACTTTTGTAAAGCGGAGTGTCGCGTGCAAAAATTTAGGACCCTGCGGCCAAGGTCAAGGTCACACATAGGGGTCAAAGTTAAGTTAAAAACATGAAAATGTGTATTCGGATCATTTAGTCATCATTTATTGAAGGATTGAAACACAAATGGTCATTATCCATAACTACTGGTGTGAAACATGTAATTTAGGTTAATATATGCAAGGTCAAGGTCACTAAAGATGATAAAGTATATAAATTTTGTCCAGAGCAGAACTCCTCCATGCATGGTGGGATTCTCATGAAACTTCACAGAATGTTACCAACTATGTGCAGCAGTGTCACGTGCATGAACCAGGTCTCTAGGTTAAAGGTTAATGTCACACTAAAAGGTCAATAAAAATGCGTGTCTACCTCACATAGAGAGGACAAAGTTTGTGTACGGGGACCATTTAGGCATCATTTATTGATGGATTGTAACACAAATGATAAGTATCATGACTACAAGAGTGACTTAATATTTGCAAGGTCAAGGTCACTAAAGATGATAAAATATCCAGATATTTTCCGGATATTGCCCAGAGCATATCTCCTATATGCATATCTTTACGGTGACCTTATCGTGCCATTTATAATCGCTTTGTATTGTCGAGCGTCGTATCGCATTGTCGCTATGTCACTTCGCATTGTCATGCGTCGACCCTTCAACCCATTGTCGACAACGCGAAGCGACAATTCGACAACGCGAGGTGACAATGCGACAAAGCAAAGTGACAATGCGACAACGCGAAGTGATGCTCGACAATACGAAGCGACACTCGACAACGCGAAGCGACATTTTTTACATGTCGTCCTTTTTTAAACGACATCGCGATATTTCGTAAATTTATTAATATAAAAAATAAATAATTCTTTCTTACATTTCAGATCATAAATTAAATAGAAAGACAGATAAAGAAACGAAAGAAATGAGCCAGATCAAATATGCACCAAAGGTCGTGTTTTGGTAAGCGTGTTCACAATCTAGTGTACATATAGAAGTATACATACAGGGACATGACATTCAGAACAACATTCTACATCTCTTTCAAAATTTTACCCCAGTGAAATGTGAAGGTGGCACAAAATTTGGCTAAATGTTTGTTTTTTATTTAAAGTTAAATTGAAATGTGAAAATTTCACGAATTCTGATGAATATTCCCCTCTATATTAAATTAAAGCTGAAATTTAAAGCAGGCTCAACGTTTGTTCTATATGAGACTTGAAGCTTGCACGAAATAAAGCTCAATTTTTGTTTTATAGATGTATCTATGCAATTTGAAGCTGGCTCGACGTTATTCGGCTATAACCATGCCTTTCCAACATCGTGCTGAATGTTTTGCTGAATGTCGTTCTAGCTCAACATTGTAGATCGACATTCAACTACATTTACAGTTGTACACGATAGTGTACACGATAGTGTAGATAAAACGGTTGGTGTGTTTAATGTTTGATGCAGAAAACGGTTGAAGTCGATCTCTTTGCTAAAGTTCACACACATTCACATTTCTATAAAGTTTATAATTTTGAATATCCTTTATTTTATTTTATTATTTTGTTCATTCGGGGTGGGGGTGGGGTGGAGGGAGTCTATGCTTTACTATTAAATCTAAGAAATGCCGCGCAAGATGATGCCCAGAAACAACCAGGTAGAATCAATTCTTCTATATTTTTTGTATTTTTCAGGATTTCGTTATTCGTGATTGTGTTTGCCTTCGTCGCCATTACGTCGGATTCGCTGGGCTACAAACTCCCAGTACTTGTTCCCGACACAAGGAACGCGTCCTTATACGATTTCTCCTACAAAAAGCCATTCTATGTGAACACGACATCAGGAAAAAGTACTTTAACAGCAAGAAATACATTTCACAAATCTTTTCAAAATAACATTTCTACAACTGCCATATCCGATATGACGACCACACTAGAATCTAATTCTCGTGCAGTCATGAAAACGCACGTGGCGTTTCTGAAAGTCCACAAGCAGGGTCGACAACTATGCAAAACCTGTTTTTCAGATTTGGTATTCGGCATAATTTAAATATTCTCCTTCCGAGAAGAGGCAACTATCTATATTCACCGGGTCAGAAGCTACTATTAAGGTCTGGTCAACACTACGATATTTTTACATGCCACACCGTTTATAACACGAAGTGGTTTAAAAGCCTACTTCCGGCAGATGCGGTAAATATCGCCATAGTCCGTGAGCCGGTCGATAGAATGATCAGTTCAGCATACTATTATAGGGATATTTTTGGTATTAAATACTAAAAAAGAATTCCATCTGGCAATTTCATTCATAATATCGTCAATTATCCCGAAAAATACAATTCAGCATTTTTCTCGCAGACAAGAAACTCCATGGGTAAAGATTTCGGATTTCGCAGTGGTATTCAGCAAAATGAAAAGGATCAAATAAAATCATATCTGGATAAACTCAGTTCAGAATTCTTACTCGTTATGATTATGGAAAAATTTGACGAATCTTTAGTTATGTTGAAAAGGCTTCTTAATTGGTCGTTTATTGACATTATTTATCTCAAAACCAACTCACATAAGCATAATCCAATTGTGCTTAATGCTACAGAAATAGCAAACTTTAGAAAAGCAAGCTATTTAGACTATGAAATTTATGATTATTTTACCGAAGAATTTGAAACAAAGTTAAAAACGATAGGAAATGATTTCTACGATGAAGTGAAGATTTTTCAAAATGTTTTAGATCAAGTCCATGATTTTTGCTCGGCAAACGTTGGGAAAGAAGCCTCCTCGGTGTCAGTTTTAAGTTCGAAATGGGATAAACAGTTTGAAGTGAAAACTACCGATTGTCGGCTGATGAAGGCCGGAGAAATACAATTCATTAATAAACTTCGTTCAAATATCATGAAACGACGGAAATAAGATGTAGAAAATACGTTTGTTATTGATGACCCCTTTCATACACCATACAAGCTGAATAAGAATTATTACATTTTACTACGGAAGCGGTGAAATGACATTTTTGAAAAAAAATGCCAGTGTGATGTTAAACTTAAAGGCGTTGAAAATTTTTGAGATGAGCAAAATGCCATGTGAGTGAATCTAAAAATAATAAAAACATGATACTTAGATGCCATGTAAGTGAGCACCTTTCATGCAATGTGGTACAATATTTCCAACTAAAGAATTGATGTATAATGTGCTCATGTCGCATGCACCGAGCAAACGCTCTGTAGCGGTTACTTCCCCTTATAAGCTCAGAAAGAAAAAAAACGTGAGGTTCAAGTTTCTATCACAAGAATATTTTGAGCGATGGAATTAAGCAACGACATGTCTATTTCATAATGCACAGTCGGAACTCCTCGGACGACTTCGATAAGTCTTACAGAGTTGTCGGAGAAAGCCGAGTGATACCGATAGGTGCATGTTGTCATATAGTACAACGGGAATTGTTTGAGCGCATTATGAGATTTATGGCATTCTGTGTCAAAAATCATTGTGAGACATGACACGGCTAAGAAAACATGCGTCCAAACAGTCCAAGTGTATAAACAGACGATATTAGAAATGAGTCACAAGATATTTATAAGCGCAAAATGGCGTTCTTAAACATTTGTGTCAAAATCTAGTTGAATTTTAATGTATATGTAAATATTGAAACCATGCGTGAAACTTCCTTTTTTTCCGTGTGACTTACTTTCCAGAAATTGCTCGTTTTACTTACTTTACATCTGCAAAGAACAATTTTCAGTTCAAGATTTTATATGGACTTAAACGATAAAAATGTCAATATTATGCTCGGTTTTTGGGTTTCTACTGAAGGAAGAAAGCTTATTTTCATTTATTTTGGTACAAAATTATACGGTCTCGAGTCACTTACTATAGCTGCATTTGCGATTTTCACACAATTCAAACAACGTTCTCAAAAACCATAAAACATAGGACAATACACTTGGTATTTATATTTAAAGAAAATTGCCCTGCATATGATAGGAGAAGTTTAGTTTGGAAACGTTTTTCACCTAAATTTATAAAAATAATGACCTTACCGAGGCTCCGAAGTCGCTATTACTTGTTTGTATTACTTTACAGTCACGTGATAACCTCCGGACATTTGTATATAAAATTATATTGTTTTAAACACCAAATAAACACGTTTCATCGATGCCAAAGTAAAAACAAATGATTTGAACAGTGTGTTATTGTAAGTTTAACCCTGCACTCGCTTTCTTTCAACCGTTAAGACCCTGTACTGGGTCCAGCTGTGTGTGTGTGTGTTTTGGGTTGGGTGGGAAGGGCAATTTGCTTGTTTCTAAGGCATGGTTTTGTGTTCTGGTAAAGCTTCCAAAAAGTAAATTATATTAATAGTAATTTATCTGAACCATTTTTGCTTCTTTTGTATTCTTGCAGTTAAATGGACGTCAATAATACTTTACTTCATTAATGACAAATTATTTTACATTACCAGCTATTTTTGTCAAGTAACATGCTCCTAAAGAAGGGGGGAAAGTTAGCTGGACAGGAATCGAGCGCGCCTTCTTCTCTGATAGCTCTTGTTTTTTTCGTGTTTTTTTTATCGGAATGATGATCTTTATAAAGGGAGGTTATTACATGAGGTACAATATTGCGAACAAATTATTCCTCACGTTACATTACCTGTACAAATATTCAAGCTAATGGATGGCCCTATGACTATTTTTATCAAAAACATGACAATCATACATTAACATGTACAAGCACTGTCCCGCAGGCACAGTCACACAGACAAAGACACACAAACACAAATGTCTACGTACCCGCGTGGGGTTTTACATGTAATAGAAAGAGCACCGAAACACGAGGCTATCTGATTTGTTCGAGGGGGCGTAGCCCCCGAGTATTAATCAGATTGCCGAGTGTTTTGGTGTTCTTATCAGCACGTTTCTTGTTGTTACAATATGAAACCCCGGCAAAAATGAACCAATGAACGAACATCTTAATATGACATTTCTGTCGCTTTCCCTGTCTCTGCCGTCACAATATGTAAACCCCAGCAAAAATGAGCCAATCAATAGGCATGCTCAGGAGTGCGGGTAACTAATACCCGCACTCCAGTTAACGCACTGTGCATGTATATGTATACGATTTAACCCTGACACATTTTCAACAGAAAGGTCTCCAAACTATATGATACAAAATGGAGGATAGATAAACACATCAACTTTTAAAATATTATCTTGGACAAAGAATAAGCTTTTCCTCCAATCCCTATGTAAATTTGATAACTGCAGGGCTGACACCTGATTGGACGAAATCATAACAAGGCGCATGGTCCTGGTAATCTTATATGTATAACTATAATTATTCAATAATTTTCGACCGGTGTACATGAGACATTTAAATACTGAAGCATTTACAAGTTAAAGTAAACCAAAGTACACTAGAATTTAAATGTTTGTAGGAATAAAATTAAAAACATTTCTAAGGCATATAATGGGCCTTATAAAAATGGGCGGTTAGTATTAAAATTTGAATGAGATTCATAACAGATATAATATAATACAAAAACGGCGTCCAATTTTTGTCCGGGGCATATCTTCTACACGCATAGAGACATTTTAATGAAACTTCATAGAAATGTTTACAACTATGAGAAGCTATGTCGCACCTATGAACCAAATATCTAGGTCAATGGTCAAGGTAACACTTAGAGGTCATTGGAACACAATTGTCTGGAGCTAAACTTCTACATGCATAGAGGGATTACAATATAACTTGCCATTGTAAGACAGAGTGTCGCGTGCAAAATTAAGGTTCCTGTGGCCAGGTTAAAGGTCACACATAGGGGTCAAAATTGAGATAAAGACATGAAAATGTGTATTCGGACCATTAAGTCATTTGTTGAGGGATTGAAACACAAATGGCCATTGTGCATGACTTCTGGTGTGACACATGTAATTTAGGTTAATAAATGCAAGGTTAAAGGCACTAAAGATGATAAAATTAAGAAATTTTGTCCAGAGCTTAACACCCCAATGCATAGTGGGATTCTAATGAAACTTCATAGAAATGTTAACAACTACTAGTATGTGAAGCAGTGTAAAGTGCATGAACCAGGTCTTTTGGTTAAAGGTTAATCTCACACTTAAGGTCATTGCAAAATGCTTGTCTACTTTACATAGATTGGTCAAAGTTTGTGCACGGGACCATTAATTCATCATTTATTGATGGATTGTAACACAAATGATAAGTATCATGACTACAAGTGTAGCTTAATATTTGCAAGGTCAAGGTCAATAGAGATGATAAAATATCAAGATATTTTCCGGATATTTCTCAGAACATATCTCCTGTTTATTTTGTCTTTTGTTAAATTTTTTATACGTTTTACCTTACCTTAAATGAACTTCTATAACATTTCTATGTGGGGCGATCCTCTTTTTGACCTACGCAAAATGCGCATGCGCGAAAAAATACTTAAAAAAAGTTTATTATGTTTATAAGTTTGTGTACATTCATTTTTTTATCTTTGATATTTATCATATAGGCCCCAAAGCAAATTGGCCAACAAAGTAATATAACGATCGAATTTAACATTCAGCAAAATTTACGCACGCTTAATATTACGATTTCGCACGAAAATCAATTTCCAAAAATGTAATTATATGTACATGTAATGTACTATATCAGGTGACGTCGCTTGTTATGTGAATGTTATCATGAATGCCATTACGTATTTATTTAAATAAAAAGTAGTCCGTCAAACAGTAATGTGTCCGTCCTTCGGCGTTTTCATGTTCACTTATCACTTAAAGAATATCATTTTTTCACAATTTGTTGTAATTTAACAGATACTTTACTCCTGCAACTCAAACCTTTAACCGGAAAAATTAGCCCAACTGTCCACTTTAAGTTTAAGGGAATTCAAAACAACAATAATAAAAACAACAACAACAACAAAGCTGACAACGGTATAGAGCCTGGTCGACTCTATATTGGTGGAAAATGCTAATTTCGATTAGTTCGTACGCAAGTGATTGGATAGCAAAGGTTGATTTCATGTGGTTTACACGCAGGAGATTTGGTCACTTTTATATAAAGTTCACTGTAATAATTAATAAATAACCTCTATATAACTTAAATTGACTATCTGAATAACATTTCAGGTCATAAAAAGGCAGATAAAGAAATGAAAGAAAAGAGCCAGATCAAATATGCACCAAAGGTTGTGTTTTGGTATGTATGTTCACAATCACTTAATACATACTACAGGGGCACGACGTTCAAACCAACAGTCCACATCTCTTTCGAAATTTTACCCAAATGAAACGTGAAGCTGGCACGAAATTCTACGAAAGACCGGTGGGGATATATCAACTTCATGAATTTCTAATTTAATCTTCTTGAATTCATGATTTTAACTTCATGAATTCATGTTTTCAACTTCACGAATTGAACTTTGTGATTCTTGATTTCAATTTCACGAATTCGCTATTTCAACCTTATGAATTTAAGATTCCAACTAAAGTTACAATCTTGAATTCATGAAGTTGAAATGTCCCCACCTGTCTTTCGTAACATTCGGCTAAATGTTTGTTCCTCATTTAAGTTTGAGTTGCAGTGTGAAAATTGCGGAATATTCTAATGAATATTCCCATCTATATCAAATTAAAGCTGAAATTTAAAACAGGCAAGACTTTCAGTTCAACGTTTGTTTTATATGAGACTTGACGCTCGCACGAAATGAAGTTCAATTTTTGTTTTATATGCGATATGAAGCTGGCTCGACATTTAGCTCAACTTGTGTTGTCTATGGAATTTGAAGCTGGCACTACATTCAGCTTATCATTTGTTTTATGTGAGGTTTGAAGCTGGCTCGACATTTAGATCACTTTTGTTGTATTTTATGGAATTTGAAGCTTGCGTGACATTGAGCTAATCATTTGTTTTTATATGAGACTGAATTTCAGCGTTATTTGAATGTGTGTAAAATATAAAATTTGCACATACAGAATAACATTTGCTTTGTGTGAGCTTTAATTTTTTTCGATATTTAACATGTTAATACATGTATATAAGGGTTGATATGTGAAGCTAATGCGACATTACAACGTATTCATCGCTGTGGGTTCGAATCCCGACAGCGACTTAAGATACTTTCATTGAGAGGGTTATCCAGCTAGCTTACGGAACATCGGTGGTTCTACTCAGGTGCCCGTTCGGTCCTGAAATAATGCACGGAAGGGTTTTTACGTCGCCATATGACATGTACTGTGTCGTGTGATGTAAAACCCCATCAATCAATCAATCAGTTTGTATGAAAAAAACTATTTGAAACCAATTCTGCACGTAATAATACGAATACGAAATTTAATTTTGGCACAAATGTTAAGCATCACGAGATGGTGTATTATGCTTGAGCATGACCCAAAAGTCCAGGTCGCTCTAAGAGGTCAAAGGTCAGCAGTTGGAAAATAGTGTCGGGTCCATTACTCTGCCTTGCATCAGGCAATTTTGAAACATTTTCCTACAAAAATAAATGTTAAGCATGATGAGACGGCGTGTCAGACTGCAAGCTGTAAGGTAAAGGTCACACTTCGAGGTCAAAGGTCAGCAGTTAGAAAATCTTGTCCGCACTACATCAAGGGATTTTGAAGTCAGTTGGCAGAAGTGTGAAGCATAATGAGCCATTGTTGTCCTTCAGTTTTTACTTGAACAAAAAATACTTGCTATTTTAGATGTAAAACGTATGGAACATCTATTTTCCGAGTTGTATGCTCCAGTTTTATTTGAAACGTCCACCAATATCTGTATTAATTATTTCACAGTTAGTTAGTTCACATCAATGAACTTGTGTTCTTATTCTGAAGTCCCAAAACAACAACGGTTTTCCCGACTTCATTTTTGAAGTTTACGTGATATAATTTCTAATAGTTATATCTAATGTAGTCGGTCCTTCGGGAGTCCAGCACTTTTAAGTTTTGAGAACTAAGTACCGCTCAAGCCGGTGCTAGGGTTCGTGAGGGATGTTGTTCTTTTTCAATATCCCTTATGTAAAGACTCAATCAAACCGAGTCTGCAATTTTCATTTAATTTTGCTGTGTTTAATGCTTCCGAGGGATCACTTTATTCAAGATATTTAACATACATGCACGTAGCGCAGACCGAGTAATCTGGCTCATCATGCTTAATGTTTCCAAGGCTACAGAAAATAAATATATTTTTGCTATGATTTTACTTTTCGGCTTTAAGTCGCACAACAATGGTCGAAATGAGATCTCCGTGTGACGCCATTCCGACTTATCAACGGAGCGACAGATTTTTACCTTTTCTAAACTATATGGAGGAACGCCTTGTATGCTCCAAATGGATCTCCAAATTAAAGCAGATAAAAAAAGATTCGTAAATGAAAAGGATAAAAACAAGTAAACTCATTTCACATTTTATAAAACAATTTTATTTCTTGTTTTCATGATCTGTTATACCAGCAGAGAAAATGGTCACGTGTCTGTCAGATTCTATGTCACGGGGGTCTAGATATGGTCACATGACTTCAAAATGACTGACACTGGTTAAAATAATGTGAAATTCTAGAGATTCTGAAATGATAAAAAGCTTATCTATACATGTACATCAATGATGAAGCGTAAGAAACAGTCACACGACCTAGAGAGAAGGGGGGACCAACAAATACACAATATAAACAACAAATACTGACATGAAAAAAGTCATAATCAAATATCTAAATATAGTAACATAAATGTACCATCAAGTCCATCTTTTCATATATTAATTGTCACTATGCAAGTATAGGTTATCTTTCATTGAATTGGGGTTTTGTGGGGGGGGGGAAGGGGGGAGAGGGGATTGGGGAGATGTGATGAAATACTTCTGATCCTCACAAAAAACAGGCATTCTCTACAAAAATACACGCACACAGGAACGCACGCACGCACTGTTGAAACAAATATTTTCAGAAGTAAAGCTTAGCAAAATTGTGTTGTTTCCATCATAATTTGTATTGTTTATGTATACAATCAGAGACTTATCTCACTTTTATTATAGCTGTGTGTCACAATGCAATGTTTACAATGTCCTAAGTACGCGAGTTGGTTATTTGTCATTTAATTTTCTTCTTTCTTTTTTCATCGTTTTCTGGATTTTCATTTCCAACGACCTAGTTTTTAAACTTGTTTCTGAAAGGTGTTTATTGATTAAACTTTCAACACCACTATACAATGTATACGTAACTGTTAACTATTAGAAAAAATAAAACGGTCCTACGTAAGTTCAAAATCAATGTTTGTCAAAGAGTTTGTTCAATTCATACAAAACAAATATTTGGGGAAAAATCATTGTTATCCGGTATTCTATCGCAATATTTAAATTTCAAAAGTAATGAATTTCAAAATATTTTCATTTCTTCTTAATTTCGTTCAATATCCTAATGGTTTTGACCTATTTTTCGTAAGTCTTTCTGGATATTAAATGGACAAATGTACAGACTATTATTGATGGCTATGTAAAACCAGAAGATTTATTCTAAGCTCACAAACAAACAATCTTAAAAAGTATCTGAAATATGTATAAATCCCCCCTGCTTTTCTTTCCGATGTGTGATTTCCTTCACAAAAAGGCGTGACCTTGTACACAGTGGGCGTGACCGTGTTTTCAAAGAGGCGGGTGCTTCTGGACGAAGCATATCATTGATATGATACATAAACCTGTGTAAGTGAATGTAAATTAATCAAAATTAAATATGTTTGATGCTATAACAAAGTAGACAAACCTTAGTGCCAAAGTTATTTTGGAAAGATTTCACTATTAAAAACATATTGTATCCCCTGTACACCTACTGCACAACAGACCATTCATTCAATCTACTTTGAGACAGTTACATGCAAGGAACATTTCCAGCAACTTTCATCCAAACTAACAAACTGATTTCAGAGATGTCATTTTATAACAATAGTGGATAACACATGGATAACATCAAGACAGTTATTCACCAATCAACCCACCCATCCAATAAAACTCAAATGAGAACTATAAACTTTGGTGAGCTTACATTATAAAAACATTTCTTTACAGTAATAACATGTCAATGTATTGATTAACAAAATTGTTCAATAATAATGATTATTTAATGAAACGATCTCCTTTTAAGACTAAAAGTAATAAATGTTCTCTTTTTTTCTTGCAACCATATTTTAACAGTTCCCAGTGAACATCTTACTTTGATCATGAATGATATTTCAAGTGATAATATTTAAAGTTATAAACAATCTTTCAACTGATAAACCATTTTTCAATTTGAAATGAAAAACTATAATTTGTTTTTAAAGTGATAAAACCATTTTTCAAATGATAAAACTATTTTTCATGCGATAAATCATATTTAAAATGACGAATGTTTTGTTTTTAGGATAGACAATATTTTTCAAATTATCAACTATTTTTCAAATGATAAACCATTTTTTGAATGATAAACTATTTTATAAATGATGGGGAAAGATCATTTTTCAAATGATATAAACCATGTCTTCAATGAAACATCTTTATTCAAAGATTTAAACAGTTTTCAAATGATTAACATTTCTTAAAATGATAAACCAATTTGCATTGCACACGAGTTATAAAATGTATGTAAATGAAACTGAATAACTGTTTTTCTTCTGTAATGATAAACTGACAACTTTTAACTTTGAAATGAATAATGATAAACAATAAATTAAAACTTAATGACAATTATTTACTTTTGCGATAAAATAACTTTATGCTCCCTGTAATCTAATTTTGAAATATTAAGAACACATGGCATTTAAATTTTATTTCCCTGATCATATTTTTGATTCTAGTCTTAAGTAATAAAAAAAATCTAGAATTTTATTCCCTCTAAATAATTTGTTTTTTCAAAATGAATCACCTTTATTTACTGAAGTCAATATTGCATTGCTTTTATTTGCCGCCAGCATAAAACAAGGCCAGTCAGTCAGCACATCTGGTACCTTTGACAAGGCTCTTTACTCTGAGTGTGACCCACATTAAAAATTTTCTTATCATGATATCGCAAACAAAAAGTCAAAATAAATGGCTGCAAAAATGGATGATGGACTAGTCCATTAGGAAAGTTCTGTAGGAATTTTTCAAGCTCGGCTACCCGAAGCTTAAACTTTAAATTTTGTTCACAGACATATTATTCCTACATACATACTGCTACCCATGCAAAGTGTATAAATTTTTTCCAAATTTCAGTATCTAGATTAAATATTTTACAAATTGGGTGAAAATTATGACATATTCTTTGTTCAGAATTGTGTGGGACTAAGTTATTTATAGCTGTGTAAGTTACTCTATGTGATTCCACACGTTTCAAAAAATATATGTTACTCCAATTTTACTAAAATCAAAATTTAATGTAACACATAATTTAAACACAAGTTATTTTCACAATAAATAGTATAACTGCAAGATGCAAAGTCGACATATAAAAATTTTGTCATATGGGTAAAATTCGTAAACATTTTGGTTGTTTTTTAATAATAAATGTATACACACAAAACGCTATCAACATAAATCACTACTCATTCTTGTGTTATATTGATATATGTCATATCCTCATTAACACACAGATATTTAAAAGTAGCTGTGTAGTCATAAACCGATTTATGTCATGTCAAAATTGGCATATGTGTAAAATACTTCTGACATTAATTCTCTGCTGGTAAACCAACTACATGTATATTGTGTACCAGGGTCTTTCACAAGACCCTATGAGTACTCTTAAATTCTTCTGAAATGCATGTTTTACACTGAATAATCATCACCTTAGTGCAATAACTGATTAACTCCTACTAAATTTAGAAAAGACATAACTCGTTACTGCGCTAAGGTGACGACTGATAAACATATCCAAACAAAATTCATAACAATAAACTTTTAAAACTGTCCAAATTCTTTCATACAATAAAAACACAACTATCTCCAGCTTACCTCCCTTGTCTCAAAAAAGTGCACATCTAAGTATATATACTAAATGCCAGTCAGAAAAAAAAAACAACAACCAAGATCCAATTCATTTTTTTTCACCCTTAACCTGCTGAATTTCTTAAATGAACTTGTCCAGCTTCCATTTGCGGAACTGTCCATTCTCAATTTTTGGGGATATCAAGATGAAACTTGGCATTACAACAGGGTATGGGCTCACAAAATTAAACACTGGCCATATTTCTGAAATTCATATATTTTCTTTTTATTTCAAGGCTTAAAAGTGCATATCTCCAGATCCTTTTTTTTCAAAAAGATTATACAAAAAAAAAAAAAAAACGTGAGAAAAATTGATTTCACTAATACTCCAAATCAATGATGATAATCAAACAGTAGATTTCAAAAATTTTATAATGAGCCCTAATTGATTTTGTCAAATAAATCAAAGGTCATGAGGGGAATTTTTCTGAAAGTTTGTTCACCATGTCATAATTCCTAAAAAAAGAAAAAAAAAACAACTTAAATTTGTCTTAACAAATGGTGCAGGCAGAAAATAAATATATGTATATGGTCTTTGCAAAGATAAACTATAATGACTTTTGTGTTCAATTTCATGTAATGTTCAATAAACAGATGTGAATGAAAACTTACGCCACCTTGACACAGTAAACGAATGTGTCAACGGCCGAAATATGAATTACTACAATGTTTTCACGGCCAGTTTGTGTACAGTGTAAACACAAGAAAAAAGCATGTAATACAAAATTAATTGTTACAAAAATCAAAAGTACTTTACTTGACCATTTACACTGGCATTTACTGATTTGTCCATTATTATATAAAATTTTAACCTTCAATGTTAGAATTATAATTATTTCCCCATTAAAACATTATTTAAAAGTAATGATTTTTTACTGCACACCAGAGTATAAATTTACATTCTCTATAAATAAGTTATACACAACAAGATTTAAACATTAGGATAGTTCAAGTTGTGATCAAAATTTTCATGAAAAGAATTATTAAACAAATAGTGACAACTTAGCAGTGTGTAATTGAATATTTGCTTAGTTAATAACCCCACGAATAATACATGACAAATACTACACAGTCTGAAAATCTATATGAACTGGAAAAGATACATAAAATGTCAACACACAGCGCCTGCAACAAGTTTTCATGTATTTTTTAAACAGCTGCATGCCTTCTGATTAATGGATTCAAACTTTAAAATTTACATACAGAGGTTGAAAAATGAAATGTTAATCTATTCGTAAGGCTTAAAAAACTTCATATGTTATATACATGTATATGCAAAATTTGACTGATGTTTACTATTTTTCATTCACTATATCTCTGACCAGTTAAAAACAAAGTAATGGCTATTTCTTGTGTGTTTTCCGACACATTATGTGTACAGTAATTTTATAAGGATAGTTCGCTACTTTTACTTATTTGAATTTGTTTTGTTTCGTTACAACAATATTTTACTATTTTAAACACTCTAAATTCACACAAAAAAGTAGCGGGAATCTGGAGGCATGCTTCTTTAATAACATAATTTGATTTAAGATGAACAAATATTTCAATAATTTGACCGGCCTTTTAAATGTTCCTCTTAACAAACACAGTAAAACTAACACCTTTCGTTTCCTTGATGATTAATGATAAATACCTTGCAAATTTTATTTTCAGATTTCCATATCCATTGCAATCATACTGTTCAAACTCTTACCCTGCGTGTATCAAAAAATTTTTACCTTAGTCACCAGTATAGAGTCGGGCCAGCCAGACCACAACCCTATGCACAGTCTGACCAGGCTCTATACTGTTGGTAGCTCCAGTTTATTAAAATCCCTAAAACTTGGAATGGACAGTTCTGAATTCAAAGCAAAGCCAATCCATTACATGAATTCAGGGGTGAAGGGTTATGAGACCATACCATAAATGTTACAATTTGCAGACGACAATTTACCAAAAGCAAAAAAATGGCCGCCTATTAATAACAGATTGAGGGCTACACTTTATGAAATATCCCTGTATTAATGGAAATTTATACTATCACCATCATCATGTTTCTTGGAACACATGTCAATCTTTCTATTTTTAGCAATAAATATTATTTTTAGTAACACATTTTCAAAAAAAAAATATCCCATCGTGCAACATTCAAAATGGCTTACATCATCTGTCAATGAAAAAATATATATATATTATATAAAAAAAAGAAAGAAAAAGTAACCAAATAAAAAACAAGGAACACATTAAAAATTAATTCATAAATAACAATTATACATACAAAATACGAAGGAACAGTATTATTTACACCCAATTATAAAATTTAAATTACTAAGATTATTTTACAAAATGCTATAAATTCATAATAAACATCGTTAAAACAACAAACAGTCTATTTATATACATGAACAAAGAAATTATGATCAATGAAATGTCAAATACAATATTCATTTACTCAATGCAAAAGATAGTCAAATGCAAACACCCGTCAGAAAATACGATAAAAAAGCACATCAAAAACAGTAATTATGTTATTTTCCTTGTAATTTCTGACAGGTTTCAAAAATCTTACCAACATTAACATGGCCATGATTTGGCAATTGTTCAGGCCATAAAAAGAAACCTAATATCACCTTAAAGCAAAAAGCCTAATTCTTGGTTTTTTCAATGAACTTTTCTTCCTAAGTTAGTAAGTAGTGTGGGAGAATTTTGTTTTCTACATTTCAAAAAAAAAAAAAAAATGTGGTGAAACAAGTTGCAAGTTACTTGTAAAAGTATTGTGTTTCATAAAAATTATAAATCAGATCTAAGTAACTGACTGTGCTATATTCCTTGTCGGTCTCATTAAAGTGTGTCACGTTTAAACACGTACAGTCGGTTTTTAACTAAAACCCATTTAGAAAATTTAATAACCAGTAAACAAGGTGTTAGTATTAGACAAAGAGCCAAGAAATTTTTTAATTGATTGTAAACCTTAACATAATTTTTATAACAAGATATGACATTTTGCTTGTATTTCGATTGTACTTAACAATGTATTTTTTCCGATCCCCTGCTATCTGATCGCGAATGGTACGGCTCAACCGAAAAAAGGTGAAGTTCTATAAAATACAAGCAAAATGTCATATCTTGTCATAAAAAACAACAAAGTTAATAAAAATGTTGAAAATCTAACAATTTTATTGGTATGGTTGGTTAGACGTTTAAAACGTTTTTTAGGTAACCGTTTCAACGGTTATCACTTTTGCTGACAGTGACACCCCTATTCTCATTAAAAAGGCAAATCTTAAGGTCCGGAGACAGAAGGAGTTAATGAGATAAGACTATAGTACCTTTCAATGGTTATTTATTACAGATATATTTGCAATGCAATCCAATATTTTATATATCCATAGAGTTTCAAGAACCATGGAATTAAAGACCATGGAATATATATATTGCAATCCAACATTTTATTTAATCCACAGTTTTAAAAAAACCATGGAATTTAAGACCATGGAATTTACATATTGCAATCCAACATTTTATATATCCACAGAATTTAAAAAACAATGGAATTAAAGATCATGGAAAATATCTATTTTACAAGTAAGTCAATATTGTGAACAAAGGGGTGGGTTTTTTTTTTCCACTGAAAACAACTTTGAACTGTGGTTGGGCTTGTAAGTAACTATTATGGTCATTTGGCAACTTTCCAGCTTTTACTGGCAGAGGTAGACCTTCTCTCGAACTCAGAACCTACTGATGGTAGCAGATTCTAACCCATGCAACCAGTGAAGACCATGATCAGCCAGCACATCCATGCAGCCTGCCTGTGGTCCGCACTGTTTGCTATTCAGTTAGTACACACATGTATTTTGAATTTTCCCTGAAAAACGATAAATGGTTTTGTCCGTATTAAAAGATGGAAAAAGATGGACTAGAAATTCCAACTCGGGGGGTTACATTATTTCGAACTAGTTTGAACCACCAACCTTTTTACAAACTAGCTGGTCATTTTTACCACATAAAACAAATCAACCGAAAATTAAATGTCTAGGGACCGATGGACTGACAGCATCGTGTCATGAAAAATTACATTTTGTATTCTAGTTTGTATAAAACATATTTTTTATTCAAATTTATACCAGTGATAACACACTGAAGGTGATGAAAATACGAATGTTAGTAAAAAAGGTAAGTTAAAAGTTAATGGCATCTGATTGTGAGATAACCAAAGAGCACCAAAAGTTATAGCACTACGCAAGATTGTACAAAAAAACACTCGGAAAAAGGGACAAGAAAAGTGAGTGGTGGGCGGAGCTTGGAGTGAAGTCTTAACACAGTGATCATCGAGTTAGCGGGAAAAAAATTATGAGAATCTGTCTTAAAAAATAAAACAAAATCTTTCAGTATTTTTCTTTTTGACATCATCTTAATTACATAAATAACATAATTATATCCCTTTTCCTACTAGACTTATTTTCTGGGTTTATTTCTTAGCTAAAAGAAATTGGTAATTCTTTCCCCCTAAATCAGTAGTTTTACATGGGTGTGCATTCCGCTTCATAAAAGAATCTAAGGTATTGAAATATTCATAAGAAACAAACTGAGGCGCATGTTGAACACAAATAAACTTAAGACTTTTCTGACGTATCTACATTATTTCAGAAAATATGAGATTTATTTCTCAGAGTAAAAACACAATATCAATAATAATGACAAAACTTGGCACAAGATTTGTGTAAACACATTTCTCATGCACTGAAAAGCATGACTAGATTTTGTTTTTGCTTATGTATTGTACAGATCACAATCTTACGGCAAGCAAACAAACAAAACACAAGAGGCCCAAGTAAGCCTACATCGCTCACCTCAAGTAACTGAAAGGTACATAAAAAGTTCTGCAGAGCAGGATCATTTCATGAAACCGAAGCCCGAGATCCACAATTTAAAAATTTTGTAGAAAATTTTCCAAAATGTGTTCCGATTTAAGTTAATGAAAAAAAGCCATTATTTATCCCGAGGGCCACGATTTATCTATCTTTTCAACAGGATCACAGTAGACAATGCAACAAGCTAAGTACCTTAAGTTTTAAGCCATTTAATTTCAGACAAAACAATTCAAAATTGACTTGAATAAATATGTCTATGTGAACTATATGGCCACATTTTGACCACAGGGACAAAACTCATATAACTATTGTAGAGGTCCACTGCACAGCTTTTTACATGTTTTTTTTATTGGTACAATTCAGTTTTTTTTGAAGATTTCAAAAGTTAAATTTTAAAATCTATTTCTAGATCTCATAATCAAATCTTTTTTTTCAATCTCATGATCACATCTTTTTTTCCCCGATCTCATAATCAAACCTTTTATCAAGTCTATTTTCATATTTCATAAACAAATCTATTTTTAGATCCCATAATCAAATCTTTTTTTAGATCTCATAATCAAATCTATTTTTAGATCTCATAATCAAATCTATTTTTAGATATCATGATCTAAACTATATCATAGAACTTTTGTAACGGACCACATAAGTATTACTTTGGTGAATTTTGTTCATGATCTGGACCTTTGTTCAGGAAGAGTTGTTCTTTACAGATATTGAGAACAATAAAATACAATGCAAGACAATGGACATCAGCCAATCACAATATACTCAACATTCAGCACTTTGTGCTCAAGTGAGCTAATAACTCCAAACCAAACCAGATACATGTATCGTCACATTAGTGCAGTAACGGTTTAACTCCTCATGTAACCTAATAGGAGTTAAACAGTTACTGCATTAAAGTGTCCATATATCAATATCAAGATGATATGTTGATAAATACAAAGAAATGATTATGCTTGATTAATTACTGTTTACTCCAAAAATACTAGGCGACAAAAAAATTGGCACTCCAAAAATACTAGGAGAAACATAGTTAAAGCAATGAGATTCAGCTATGGACACATACTGTCAAATTTGTGTAACATGTAAAGGGACAAAAACTGACCCTTAAAAAAAACTAAATGAAAAAATATTCAGCTGGGAAATTTTGCCAATCTTTCAATTTTTTTTATTGCTGTATGAAAACTGGACTCAGTAGTAAATATTTGTCTCAAAATACTATTTAATCGTTTTAATTTCTTCCTTTTTTCACCTTTTCTTTGTAACAATTGCCTCAATGGGCCTTGATCACTCGCTAGTCTAAATGTAGAAGTAGATGTGTGGGAAACCATGTTTGACCAAAGGGCCATAATTCATATTACAATGTTTGTAGAATTCTTGACAAAAAGAAGTTTGGACACAGCTGCATACCAAAGATAATGACTTTTCAATTTTTAACAGGCAAATATCTCAAAAGCTTTTATCTATACTGTCCAAGTGACCCCTAGAACAGGGTCATTTTTTTCTTCCAAAATCTTTACTTATGATAGGCCCAAAAAACAATGCTGAAGAATTGCTCCCACAACTTGAACCATAACATAACTTTGAAATAACATCTTCAAGATTTATGTGAAGTTTCGTCAAAATCTACAGGACTGCAAGATATTGTGAAATAAGATTGGCGACAGCCCATCACAAAAAGTCACCTCTGATTGAATTTGTGCACAGGTGAGCTCCAAAAATGCACTTTTAAATAGAAAAACATGTGCACAGCAAATATATTTATCTCCCTAAGTCAGCTTCATTTCCAACATTATCCAAAAAAAAGAGAGATTCATAAGAAGAGAAAAGAATGTTCCATTATGGACACAAGGGGATATTAAGACTGTTCTATATTTATCTTAACAACAATTATACAACAAAATGCGTATGTTTATGTTTTCTCACAGTTGGGACTGATAAATATTCATTCACCTTTCAATTCAGGAATTATTCATAACATTTCTATAAATAGCAACGATTTTACATTTCTATAAATAGTAACGATTTTTACCCTAATCCTCCTGAAACTGAAAGTGGACTATTCCCATCAATGAGAGAGGTGAGTCCATATTTATATGAAAACAAGGTTCAACAGATCTTTCTAACAAAGCTCTGTCAAATTTCTCATCCAATACCACATTCATACTATAAATATCTGTTAACATAACAACACAAAAAAAAGACATCTGTTAATTCAAAAATTTGCTAAGAAAAGAAAAGAAATCTCCTCCAATAATTTTATCCCTCTGGTTGAACAGGAGCAGTCTGATCTGCCAATCAAAAATGATCATCATGGTGATAGCTCCTCCCTTTTTTCATAGCAACAGAAAAATAACCAATCACATTCTACTTTACATTGATAAAACCATTTCTTCTATTTTTAGACTTTCTATTTTTAGACTCAAACTAAAATCCATCAGTTGTCCCTAACTCCCATTACTATTTCTATGCTCTAATGGTGGTCTGAAGTTGTCCGCATTTGAACTGCTATTAATTTCTGCTCCGTACATTTTGCTAGCTTTTTTGTTCATGTTTGCCATAATCTGAGTCGACAATTTAAATCCATTTAGAATCTCATCCTTCCATTGGTTGATTAAAACTTTATCCTGGAAATTAAAAGTTTAATATTATTCAAGGCATTTTTTAAAAAGTAGATTCTACTGTACAATGTACTCTTTATTATTTTTCGTTTAAGATCAAGTTAAATTTCTCCTTTTTTTCGGTCAAGCTTCAGATTTACTATTACGCTTTGTACTAGCAAGATGATTGTACATTTTATGTCATTTTAAAATTGTTACACAATATTTATGAAATTGTTACATCTAGAGCATTAACATCATTCTGTTGACTTGACCTAGTGACCTAATTATCCATCTTGACAAAACTTATTTCAAGCTTGCGTACAGATTCTATGAGACAAACAGTATCAGGCAAGATACCAGTCAGTGTGATGGAAGTCAGGCATCAAATTCTTTTTTCAGTCACTCGTCCTGCAGGACGAGTAGCTTCTAAATCCAATGTGCAGGCAACATTTATCAATGTCCTGCATCGAGTTTTTTTAAATTCTACTAGTAATTATGAGCGGACAAGTGGAATTTTTGATCTCTGCTAGAAGGCAGAAATGAACAAACCGGCAACAATATGACACTTCTAATTCTGTTCTAGGGTAGTTAACAGATTTTCATTTCATTCTCAATGGGTGTGGCAATGATATAAAATTTGAATAATAAATTCATACCGGTGAGGTAATAGCAAGTTTCTGTTCATTTTTTAAGACGAGAACAATACAGTTGTCCGTCTTGTTGATTTTCTGGAATTCTGGGTAAATTTCCTTTATATCAAGCATGGATACCAGCTGAAAAATAAAGAAATCGTGAATAATAATAAATGTTATCTTATTTTCAGTATACCATCATTCTAAAATTCTTGCACTTTTGTAATGTCACATTTCAATGGATAATCATGATGTTGATATAGTTTTATATACACTGCTGCTGTAAATTTATTAAGAAATCCCACCTTTATCTTTTTAAAAAAAAAGATGCTTGCTGTATTATAAATTTGTTATAAAGATTTCTGACAGGTTATATGACCATATATAAACAGTCATTTTCAATATAACCCAAGCCGCTATTTCCAAACAAACGTTTATATATGGCTGTATAATCTTTAAACTACTAATATAACATTTATTCACAATCTACTTGGCATGTTTAATTGGGTAAGAAAAGAATGATTTACTGTTATCTTGTTTAACGGGTTTAAAGTCACAAGAACACTGTAATGATCATATCAGGACTTTCCAGCTTTATTGGTGGAGGAAGACATTTAAGGTGCCCCTCTGTGTACCAAAGTAGAACCACTGTCACAGTAAACTAGCTGGATGACTTCCTCACATAAAAGAATTCAACAGAGGACCAAATTATTTTGATAATTATCACTACTAAAAGGACTCTGAAGGCATGTTCAGGTGATAAACAAGTGCACAACCTCCACGCCTTTCCCTCTCACGACCTGCCCATCACGGTTTTTATGATAAAACTCAAGTCTGTTCGGGTATAATTTTAGATGTTTCTTCTGCCATGTCTGTAAAAATGGTCCGCCAAGTTTCAACACTTCACCCTCTACTATACAGTCAGTAGGGCCTACAAATATAATAAATGGAATACAAATAAACATATCTAAAAATTTTCTTTTTTCTTTTTTTTTTTCTTCAGAATGGAATTGTTTGTCTTTAAATGGGGCTTTACAGATGTCTTGCCTTATAAGTAAGCTTTAAATGTTTACTTTAGAAAATAATGTCGCATAGACCCTCTATATCTGTCACTGTCATATTGCAATGTTTAAACTTTACTACTGGAGGAGGTCATTCAGTGCCCATGCATTCATTGTATCAGGCACATGTTGGCACCTTAATAGAACCACCACTGACCTTTCATAATCTTGGAAGAGTTTCTTCCTCACCAGGAGCTTGTGATTCAAAGTCAACCCAGGCAATTCAAATTCAATTTAAAGGCAATTTAAAGTCAATCAATTAATCAAATTTAATATTTTAAACACTTACCATGCTGCTTAGCGACTAGGTAAAAATTTTAAGGTTTGACCATGCATATATACATGACGTCATTTGTATTACACAAACATAGTCTAAAGATATGCTAAATGTTTGCATTACATTACAACCCGGTCAATGAAAAAAAGTTTCCTTTACTTACTGTAAACAAGATATGTTTGTAAAACATGTATGCCCCCTATCAGCAGCCAATAAGTCATGTGATAAGGTTATTATGCATGACATCTGACCCAGTGATCAAACAATTAATAAGGGTTATCAAGTATCTACTGGTCATGACCTTAACCTTTGACTCCTTGACCCAAAACTCAATAGGGGTCATCTGCTGGTCATGACCAATCATCATACAAAGTTTGAAGTTCCTAGGCCTAAGCGTTTTTAGTTAATTGATCGGAAACCGTTTTTACCTACAAGGTCAATGTGACCTTGACCTTTGACCCCTTGACCCCAAAATCAATAGGTCATCTGCTGGTCATGACCAATCACCATACCAAGTTTGAAGTTCCTAGGCCGAAGCGTTCTTTAGTTATTGATCAGAAACCGTTTTTACTTACAATGTCAATGTGACCTTGACCTTTGACCCCTTGATCCCAAAACTCAATAGGGGTAATCTGCTGGTCATGACCAATCACCATACCAAGTTTGAAGTTCCTAGGCCTAAGCGTTCTTAAGTTATTGATCAGAAACCGTTTTTACTTACAAGGTCAATGTGACCTTGACCTTTGACCCCTTAACCCAAAACTCAATAGGGGTCATCTGCTGGTCACGACCAATCATCATACAAATTTTGAAGTTCCTAGGCCTAAGCGATTTTAGTTAATTGATCTAAAACCGTTTTTACCTACAAGGTCAATGTGACCTTGACCTTTGACCCCTTGACCCCAAAATCAATAGGTCATCTGCTCGTCATGACCAATCACCATACCAAGTTTGAAGTTCCTAGGCCTAAGGGTTCTTTTGTTATTGATCAGAAACCATTTTTACCTAAGAGGTCAATGTGACCTTGACCTTTGACCCCAAAATCAATAGGGGTCATCTACTGATCATGACCAATCACCATACCAAGTTTGAAGTTCCTAGGCCTTAAAGTTCTTTAGTTATTGATCGGAAACCGTTTTTACCTACAAGGTCAATGTGACCTTGACCTTTGACCCCTTAACCCTAAAATCAATAGGGGTCATCTACTGATCATGACCAATCACCATACCAAGTTTGAAGTTCCTAGGCCTAAGGGTTCTTTTGTAATTGACCAGAAACCGTTTTTACCCAAAAAGTCAATGTGACCTTGACCTTTGACCCCTTGACCCCAAAATCAATAGGGGTCATCTACTGATCATAACCAATCACCATACCAAGTTTGAAGTTCCTAGGCCTCAAAGTTTTCTAGTTATTGTTCGGAAACCGTTTTTGCTTACAAGGTCAATGTGACCTTGACCTTTGACCCCTTGACCCCAAAATCAATAGGGGTCATCTACTGATCATTACCAATCACCATACCAAGTTTGAAGTTCCTAGGCCTAAAGGTTCTTTAGTTATTGATCGGAAACCGTTTTTGCTTACAAGGTCAATGTGACCTTGACCTTTGACCCCTTGACCCCAAAATCAATAGGGGTCATCTACTGGTCATGACCAATCACCATACTACTGGTCATGACCAATCACCATACCAAGTTTAAAGTTCCTAGGCCTAAGGGTTCTTTAGTTATCACTCGGAAACCATTTGGTCTACGGACCGACGGACCGACAGACCGACGGACCGACAAGTGCAAAGCAATATACCCCCTTTTCTTCGAAATGGGGGCATAACAATTCTTATTTTGGATATGTGATACAAAGAATATAACATTCATGTAGCTTCATTACTAAATTTATTGAACTCGTTGAATAAAAATAACATTATGCTCGCAAGATGCTCGTACGATATAACATTATTCAACTCATTCAATAAATTCCCTATTGAACCATACTCATTCAATATGTATCATACCATCTTCTAATTCATCAATCCTGGGTTTCTGCTTCTTTTTCTGTTCTATTTTATCTGTTTCAGTGTTGATTGCCTCAAACACGGTCTCCGCCACTTCCTGTTGCCATCGCTCCGAAACAACCATTGGGAAATTTTTGTATAGTTCTTGATCAGCCTCAGTTAACTGAAATGACAGACAATAAACAGAATGTACAAGTCCTTTTTCTTAATTGATTAAATAACACTAGTTGCATGGACCAGTGTTCTTATAATTTGTCAAGGTTCAAATTTGACATTTTCAGATTTTCCAGAAAAATAGTTTCAAAAATGTTAATTAAAAGAAATTGTGAACAGACGAACATAATTTGTATGATGCTCTCTATACAGCTAATATATAATTACCATAATATTTTAGAATGAAATAATTGTTTGATTGTTTTTTTTTTTTGGTTTTTATGATGATTTGAACAGACATGTATATTAGCAGTCAATTCACCTATCCGGCTTCCTATAGAATTATCCTTTACCATGGTCATACATGAACAACCTTTGTAGATGTGAACAATGGTCCAACAAAAGAATTGATAAGACCATGGTTAACCATATTTGTGGGGTAATGATTAATCCTTTGTAAGAAAGGGTATTCTAATTGTAGGAGATCAACACACCTTCAACAACACAGCAACAACTTTGAAATTCTTACCAACAGACAAAATGTGTAAAATACTACAAATTTTTAAACATACTTTACAGAAAATCAACAAATTCTCCCAAAAAAGAGCATTTTATGGAATTCTAACAAACTCAGCAATTTCAAGATTTGTTTAAAAATGATCTGTGTCTGATTTTGAACATGACATAACTAAAATTATTAAACCATCATCTCTTGTTTCTTTGATTTAACATCAAATTACAACAAACTTCCCATTACAGTAAAACCTGTGAACAAGGGCCTTCCAAATAAAACACCAAACATGGTCTTTATATACAAGTGGTCTTTATTTGGAGGTTACTCTGTTCAATTTAATCAATGACAGGTTGTCAAAGAGTGGGCATTATTTATAGGGTTATCTTAATTCAAAGGTGGCCTTTAACACGGGTTTTGACTGTACTACATAAAATACCACAATGATACTGAAATTTCAGAGTTATAGAATTTCAAACAGAAATCCATATTTTAATGAGGATCATGTTACAAAATTAAAAGAAAATAAAACTTGATCAAACTGGAAAATTAAGCGTCTGAAATTGTGTCTTTCAATAATTTTCTTTTGCTGAAGTACACACTGGTTTGAATGACATAATTCTTCTTTCTCAGACTCTTTTTATCTGGAATTCTTAACAATGAAAAAGTATGCAAGAATTTGAAACTCTTTAATACAATATAAGAGTTCTTAAGTCCTGTTGTAAAATTTTCTTTCTGTCATATACACAAATATATTTTTGCTAAAATTTACTCGCTTTGATCAGTGGTAAAAACTACTCACTTTGATTTGTGGTAAAATTATTCACTTTGATTTAAGGTAAACATACATGTGAACTTTTTTCAATGATCAAGTGGGAGATTTCTCTTCAAAAAGAGGGAGATTTTAGAATTTACAATAAACAAAGAAGGAAGTATTGACATCAAAAAGAGGGAGAATTCTTTAATTTGTGAAAATACCCCTTATTGTAAGAAAAATCTGTGAAAATATGGCTGCAGAAAGTGGGAGTCTCCCGCTAAAAGTGGGAGAGTTCACATGTATGGGTAAAAGCTACTCACTTTGATATGTAGTAAAATTACTCATTTTTATTTGTGGTAAAAACTACTCACTTTAATTCCTTTGGTATCCTCCTCATCAAATGAGCCGATATCAAACGCGTCTGCTGCGTTCACCTCACCTCGTGGCGGTATTAACGGTGGTGGGTATTTCTGCAGGTACACCTGATTCCAGTCTATGGACTTGAAAAATGGATGTTCCTTCACTTCTTGTGCTCTAAAGACATGAAACGAAATTTCAGATCAAATCAGAACCAACACAAGGTTACCATAGTAACATACAGGAAATTGTTATTATTTTTACGGATAACTAGCCAGTAATTACCAATTTCGACACAAGTGACTGACGACTTATTCCAAAACAAATTGGAAAATAAAGACATTGTAACAGTGCCCTGGCAAAGGACAATTAAATCATTTTTGACACAGATTAACTTCCTATCTTTTTATGAAGATATTTGGGGACTTGTTTAGTTTTTGCAGATAAAAAAACTCAAACTTTTAAGTAAAAAGAAACCAAAAATAATAAGTTTTTGAGAAATGAAAATAATAGCATTTCTGAGGCATAATGGGTCTTTAAGGAGCAATTTTCCAAATAAGAATGCGTTTTAGTCGATTGGGAAAAACAAAACATGACTTCACCCTCTTCCTTGACACCCTAGTCTCTCCTCTACGTCGCGACGCAGCAATCCCTCCAACAAAGATTTCATCTCGGGTGACATCGAGTCTGGGAGATCAACATTCTGTGTCAGTAAACAAAAAAATAAAAGATATTTGAAACATCACTAGTAATAACAACTAGAGACATCACACAGTGCTCTAACACTGAAAGGGGAGGTAATCATTATACAGGTTTCATAAACACTGAAAGAAGAGATAATCAGTATACAGGGTTTATAAACACTGAAAGGGGAGGGAATCATTATACAGGTTTCATAAACACTGAAAGAAGAGATAATCAGTATACAGGGTTTATAAACACTGAAAGAAGAGGTAATCAGTATACAGGGTTTATAAACACTGAAAGGGGTGGTAAGCATTTTATAGTATTTATAAACAATGAAAGGGGAGGTAATCATTATACAGGGTTCATAAACACTGAAAAGGGAGGTAATCATTTTACAGGGTTCATAAACACTGAAAAGGGAGGTAATCATTTTACAGGGTTAATAAACACTGAAAGGGGAGGTTATCATTAAATAGGGTTTATAAACACTGAAAGGGGATGTAAACATTTTACAGAGTTTATAAACAATGAAAGGGAAGGTAATCATTATACAGGGTTCATAAACACTGAAAGGGGAGGTAATAATTATACAGGGTTTATACACTGTAAGGGAGGTTATCATTATACTGGGTTTATAAACACTGTAAGGGAGATAATCATTATACAAGGTTCATAAACACTGAAAGGGGAGGTAATCATTATACAGGGTTTATAAACACTGAAAGGGGAGATAATCATTATACAGGGTTTAAAAACACTGAAAGGGAGATACTTTTATTATACAGGGTTCATAAACACTGAAAGGGGAGGTATTCATTATACAGGCTTTATACAAACATTCAATGCTAAAATTCAAGCACCTTTTTAAAGCATGTTTTCTCATTTTTAAATTTTCATATACTACCCATCACAGTTTATTGGAATCTTATATAAAAACACACACATTTTATTGAAATTTCATGAACAACCCAATTTATTGAAAATTTAAAAACAACCCACTCTATCAGAAAATTATGAACAACCCATTTTATAAACAACAACATTTACATAACTTAGGTACTTTAGTCTATTTCTATCAAATCGAAGATACACATAAATAAGCTACCGAATACAGACAGCTTAATTACCCTTCAAATGTGAATCAGTAACATTTACTCATGCAAGAATAGCATTAATGCACTTCATAAAAAAATGCCACGGGTTCACTTGTGTTTGTTTTTGCTAGGTTTAGACAGACACAGTTCAACAACATTTCAATCAGCTAATGATTTCCAAGAATCTATATCAGTCCTAACCAGTTTTTTCTGTCAGTAATTACCGGCTTCTTATCATCAAATCATAACAAACACAACAAAACTGTGATGGAGGATGAATAAATAAAGCTGTGTAGTCTAATACCATATTCTAATGGGTAAACAAATGCTTTGCATAATTATCTGTATCCAAATATATCTCTGCTGATCTCATAGAACATAGTGTCACCTTAGTGCATTAACAGGTTAAGTCCTCTAATAAGAGTTAACTAGTTATTGCACTAAAGCGACAATAGGCTTGACAGTTCAAGGATTTTTTTCCGTTATTTTTTTGGCTGGGTTTGAAGTGAAACTGACATTGTGGAGCTCATAAAACTTTCCTGCTGGATGAAGACCTCAAATGCCTAGAGGGAGGCCATAAATGCCTGGTTGAAGAGTTCAGATACCTAGAGGAAGGCCATAGATGCCTGGTGGAAGAGTTCAGATACCTAGAGGAAGGCCATAGATGCTTGGTGGAAGAGTTCAGATACCTAGAAAAAGGCAATAAATGCCTGGTGGAAGACTTCAGATACCTAGAGGAAGGCCACAGATGCCTGGTGGAAGACCTAAGATACCTAAAGGAAGGCCATAAATGCCTGGTGGAAGACTTCAGATACCTAGAGGAAGGCCATTGATGCCTGGTGGAAGACTTTAGATACCTAGAGGAAGGCCATTGATGCCTGGTGGAAGACTTCAGATGCCTAGAGGAAGGCCATTGATGCCTGGTGGAAGACTTCAGATACCTAGAGGAAGGCCATTGATGCCTGGTGGAAGACTTCAGATACCTAGAGGAAGGCCACTGATGCCTGATGGAAGACCTCAGATACCTAGAGGAAGGTCATAGATGCCTGGTGGAAGACCTCAGATACCTAGAGGAAGGTCATAGATGCCTGGTGGAAGACTTCAGATACCTAGAGGAAGGCCATAGATGCCTGGTGGAAGACCTCAGATACCTAGAGGAAGGTCATAGATGCCTGGTGGAAGACTTCAGATACCTAGAGGAAGGCCATAGATGCCTGGTGGAAGACCTCAGATACCTGGAGGAAGGTCATAGATGCCTGGTGGAAGACCTCAGATACTTAGAGGAAGGTCATAGATGCCTGGTGGAAGACTTCAGATACCTAGAGGAAGGTCATAGATGCCTGGTGGAAGACTTCAGATACCTAGAGGAAGGCCATAGATGCCTGGTGGAAGACCTCAGATACCTAGAGGAAGGTCATAGATGCCTGGTGGAAGACCTCAGATACCTAGAGGAAGGCCATAGATGCCTGGTGGAAGACCTCAGATACCTAGAGGAATGTCATAGATGCCTGGTGGAAGACCTCAGATACCTAGAGGAAGGTCATAGATGCCTGGTGGAAGACTTCAGATACCTAGAGGAAGGTCATAGATGCCTGGTGGAAGACTTCAGATACCTAGAGGAAGGCCATAGATGCCTGGTGGAAGACCTCAGATACCTAGAGGAAGGCCATAGATGCCTGGTGGAAGACTTCAGATACCTAGAGGAAGGCCACTGATGCCTGATGGAAGACCTCAGATACCTAGAGGAAGGCCATAGATGCCTGGTGGAAGACCTCAGATACCTAGAGGAAGGCCATTAATGCCTGGTGGAAGACCTCAGACACCTAGAGGAAGGCCATTAATGCCTGGTGGAAGACCTCAGATGCCTAGAGGAAGGCCATTAATGCCTGGTGGAAGACCTCAGATGCCTAGAGGAAGACCATTAATGCCTGGTGGAAGACCTCAGATACCTAGAGGAAGGCCACAGATGCCTGGTGGAAGACTTCAGATACCTAGAGGAAGGCCACAGATGTGAGGAAGGCCATTAATGCCTGATGGAAGACCTCAGATACCTAGAGGAAGGCCATAATGCCTGATGGAAGACCTCAGATGCCTAGAGGAAGGCCATTAATGCCTGGTGGAAGACCTCAGATACCTAGAGGAAGGCCATTAATGCCTGATGGAAGACCTCAGATGCCTAGAGGAAGGCCATAAATGCCTGGTGGAAGACCTCAGATTACCTGAGAAGCCTGTAAGATGCCCAAAGGATACCTCACTGAGCATTATTTCAGGCACAACCAGGCACCCAGAGTAGAACAACCATCCTGGATAGCTTCCTTACATGAAAGAATCTAGTTACAAACAAGATTCGGACCCACAGTTGTAAGGGTCAAGTGAATCCCAGTCAGCGACCATTACCACTCATTTCACTGAAATTCTCAATGACTTAAACATAGACAACCTGATTAACTTTCTTCAACTTACCATTGTCATGGTCATTCTGTCAATTTCGTGTTTATCTTTGGTTTTATGTTGTCGAAATGGACTATGTCTGAAAATAATAAAAGACAATTACAGAATGTAGATCTTGCTATAAAATAGTGTTTATTTGTTTGTTTTGGGTTTTAAGTCACATCGACACAGTATAGGTCATATCGCGACGTTCCAGCTTTACTGGTGGAGGAAGACCTCAGGTGCCCCTCCGTGCATTATTTCAGGCATGAACGGCACCTGAGTAGAACCACCGACGTTCCGTAAGCTAGCTGGATAGCTTCCTCACATGAAACAATCCAAAGTCCCTGTAGGGATTCGAACCCACAGCGGTGAGGGGCAAGTGGTTTGAAGTCAATGACCTTAACCAATCGGCCACGGACGCCCGATAAAATAGTGTAAAATCAATCCATGTATTTTGGCGGCATGGCCAGTAGGTTAACCCATCAAACTAGTAACCCAAGGATTGCTGGCTGGGTGCGTTTAAACCCAGTTAGGGGCAAGCCATTGTTTCCGTCAGCAAGGAACATTACACTCATTGCTTAGTACTGGTTGGTTTCAGAAACAGATTTGAGAGTATTTCAAACTAAATTAAATTAGTATTACAAGGAACATCGCAATGCGATGCAACCAGGTTTTCAGCAAAATATTTCACAGAAGCTTTGTCATGAAGGGGCATTTGTTTTTAATTGAACTTTTAGGAGGAATTATGGCTTTTTTAATATTCCTCAAACAAAAATGATTGAGAAATTTTATGTTGTCTATTCGCCTTTTTTTCCCAAATGTTTTAGAAAGGTAAACAGTACTTTATTTTTGCTTAATTTTTGCATTTTTGCGTCTCTTGTCATTTTCTTTTGTCAACAATATTGGCGTGTGGTGTTTTGTGCGATATCAAGAAAAGTATGTTCACAATTTTAAAAAAATACTTGAATGATGTCTTGGTAGAAACATGGGAATTTAGTGAGCGCCAGGGCACTTGATGACAAAGCTTCTGTGAAAGTTTGGTCAAAATCCATTGAGAAATGTAGGAGAAGTTGCGCACTGTACAAATTGTTCACTATATATTCTGTATAAGGAAAAAATATACAAAGGGCCATAATTCGGTCAAATATTATCCAATCACAAAACCCCGACAATATGTGCCAGGCACTTGATAACAAAGCTTCTAAGAAAGTTTGGTCAAAATCCGTTGATAAATGTAGGAGGAGTTGAGCACAGAAGAAATTGTTCTCTATATATTCTGTATAAGAAAAAAATATACAAAGGGCCATAATGCGGTCAAATATTATCCAATCACAAAACCCCGACAATATGTGCCAGGCACTTGATAACAAAGCTTCTAAGAAAGTTTGGTCAAAATCCATTGAGAAATGTAGGAGGAGTTGTGCACAGAAGAAATTGTTCTCTATATATTCTATATAAGGAAAAAAAACAAAGGGCCATAATTAGGTCAAATATATACCAATTGCAAAACCCTGGCAATATGTGACAGGGCACTTGATGACAAAGCTTCTGAGAAAGTTAGGTCAAAATCCGTTGAGAAATGTAGGAGGAGTTGCGCACAGAAGAAATTGTTCACTATATATTTTATATAAGGAAAAAAAAACAAAGGGCCATAATTAGGTCAAATATTATCTAATCACAAAACCCCGACAATATGCGCCAGGGCACTTGATAACAAAGCTTCTAAGAAAGTTTGGTCAAAATCCGTTGAGAAATGTAGGAGGAGTTGTGCACAGAAGAAATTGTTCACTATATATTCTATATAAGGAAAAAAAACAAAGGGCCATAATTAGGTCAAATATATACCAATTGCAAAACCCTGGCAATATGTGTCAGGGCACTTGATGACAAAGCTTCTGAGAAAGTTTGGTCAAAATCCGTTGAGAAATGTAGGAGGAGTTGCGCACAGAAGAAATTGTTCACTATATATTTTATATAAGGAAAAAAAACAAAGGGCCATAATTAGGTCAAATATTATCTAATCGCAAAACCCCGACAATATGCGCCAGGGCACTTGATGACAAAGCTTCTGTGAAAGTTTGGTCAAAAACTGTTGAGAAATGTAGGAGGAGTTGCGCACAGAAGAAATTGTTTACGCCCGCCCGGCTGTCCGCCCGCCCGCCGACATACCTCAATCTAATAACCAGTTTTTTCCTTCGGAAAACCTGGTTAATAAACTAATCCATGTATATTGCAATGTGAAATACTTGAAATAACTTGTGTCAACTGTTTTATGTCTGAAGGCCACTTTAAAAATTGTTTTTTTTTTAAAGATTTAGACTGCATCTGTTACTTACCCTTTTAACAATTTATAAAGCATGCAACCAAAGGAGAACCAATCAGCACTGGAATCATATGCAGTTCCCTTCTGTAACACTTCAGGTGCCATATAACCGTGTGTGCCCCTGAAATGAAATAATATATGGTGTCACATCAAACATATAGGCCATATAACAGTGTGCGCCCCTGAAATGAAATAATATATGGTGTTACATCATAAGTATTTGCCATATAACCATGTGTGTCCCTGAAATGAAATAATATATGTTATTATATTGTACATATTAGCCATATAACCATGTGTGTCCCTGAAATGAAATTATATATGGTGTTACATCATATATATTAACCATATATGTGTGTGCACCTGAAATGAAATAATATATGGTGTTACTGTTACATCATATATATATATATATATATATTAGCCATATAACCATATGTGTCCCTGAAATGAAAAATATGGTGCTTCATCATACACATTAGTCATATAACCATGTGTACCTCTGAAATGACATCATTTATATTGTGTACAACTGCACATCCAACATCTTAGCCATATAACCCTGTATGGCCCTCAGATGAAATAATATTGAAGCCATGGTACCTATATATCAAATTTTGAATGAAGAAACACTTTGGAACACTATTTCAGGTAAATGAAAATCACCAGAGTAGTACCACAGATTTTCCATAAACTAGCTGAAAAGTGGACAACATTCTAACAAAATTTTTTTTTAACATTCTTGAAGGGCTTTTAACCTGCAGAATTGACACACAAGATTCAGCTACTTTTAAGAATGGCACAACTTTCACATAAAATCCCTTATATACTTTTTAAATTCCCCTTTTGACAAGAAAAATTGCGACCAACGAAGTGTCAAACCATCAGACTACCAACCTACACAACTTGTTCCAAACATTGTGTAGCAGGGGTATTAATAAGGGGGAAATAAAGAAGTTTACTTACACACTGGCATGAGGTTTCTTTTTGGAAAAATCACAGGCAAGTCCTAAATCTGATATTCGTACATGACCATTTTCATCGAGTAATATATTTGCTGGCTGAAAATAGAAATTACAAATGAGCCGTGTCATGACAAAACCAACATAATGGCTTTGCGACCAGCATGGATCCAGACCAGCCTGCGCATCCGCGCAGTCTGATCAGGATCCATGCTGTTCGCTTACAGACCCTATAACAAGTAAACAAACTGATAGCGAACAGCATGGATCCTGATCAGACTGCGCGGATGCGCAGGCTGGTCTGGATCCATGCTGGTCGCAAAACCACTATGTTGGTTTTGTCATGACACGGCTCAAATGTATCATTATCATTGGCACAAACAGGTGTAATAGGTATTACATTTTTTTATTATATATCAGATATATATATAACAAGAAATACTGCAAAATCATTATTTTTCGTGAGGAACTCATTTTCATTGCTTTTGTAAATATGTCAATCTACAAATTTAAGATTCAACAAAATTGCATTTTGTGGGCTGTAAGATTATTTTTGCATTACATAATTTGCATTTTGCTTTTTTTTTGCAATTTTATTTTTTTGCAAATAACATAGACAACATATGAATATAAAAACCTATGAAAATGTCTTTTTTGACAAAACCATGTGATTTCATGCCCATGAAATTAAGAGAATCCACAATATATATTTTTTGCGTTTACAACTTATTGAAATATGCCTCAAACTAGTCCAAAATGACAAAAAAAAATCTGTGATAATTCCATTGTGTACTTAGCAAATAATTGGCACATTATGATCTACTTATCTTAGAATGAGGACAATATTTTACAATCAAATTCTTGACACAAAGGCTTCAGGTCATACTGATAAACTGTATTTTGAAACCTTACTTATACCTAATAAGTAGTTCAGAAAATTCAATTATTACTATGTCACTTGGAACAGTAATTTACTTGACTCGGAAGACTGACAATTTCACAATAAACAAGCTAAAAGACAATTCATTAATATGATGCTCTAGTACAGACATATCAACAGGAATGTGTATGTACAGTAATAGACATAAAATTTTACTTAAAGGAACTCCACTGAGGTCCAAAAGCCTAAATACATAAAATTTAAATTTCTCACATAGATCAACTCAGGGGCACTTAAAACAGAAATATGTACAAAAGTTAAATAAATAATATACTCAGAAATACATTGAAAATAGTATGTTTTTGCTATTCTTTGTCCGATTTGCAATGCTTTTCAATTTTGGGTAATTTTTCATAATCAGAAAAGCTATTCTGGAAAATTGGATTGAGCTAATGAGTTTGCACATAACTTGTTGGTGTAGAACTTCATGAAATTGAGTAATAATGTCAAAAAATTATTTTCAGTTCCGTCATGTCAAAAATCTTTAATTAAAGTTAATTGCTCCAGTTTTCATGAACACAGAACAAAAACAGTTTCACAGGCTAATGCACTTACATTTAAAGCTGCATGCCTCCAGATGAGCCAAAATATTAAGAAAATCAAACTTTTGGAAAACACACTAAGATTGTAAGAAAAGTATTTAGATTCAAGATTCAAGTAATAATTTATATCTTTTGTGCTATTAATGATTGATTTTGCAGTATTTATCACCATATTCCTACTACATTACTATCGCAGTAAGGGCTATTTTTGCATATTTCAACCCATTTTTTTTTTAATTTATGTGGATTGTAAGTGCTGTTTGCAATATATAAATTACTTTCTTTGTTCACTTTGCAATATTTTACTATTAAACATATTTTCAAAATTATCATGAAAATTAGGATAAATCTGGAGGCGTGCTGCTTGAAATTATTGTATGATCTTAGCAAATGATCACAGAATTAGTTTGAAGCCAAAAAAAAAAGGCGTTGGAGATGGGAGAAGATCAACAATTTTGTTATTCTATTTAGAAATCAGTCGTAAATTTTGAATTTGTTTGCTTATTTTACTAGAAAAATCTATTTCTGGTGGCAAAACACTTCTAGTTATCCTGGAATTTAGGACTAATTATAATTTAAACGTAACTGTAAGTCTGTTACATACAGTTTGTTGTCCATTTACAGGAACAACTTATATAAATATAATGACATTTACGGCTAAAGTGAATGGATCAGTATTGTATGTTTTTGTCACTTGTTGGAATATTTATCTTTGTTATTGATCACGGGTACTGTATGTTTTAACAAAGATGCAATTAATATATAGTGTATTTATAGATCAAACATTAGATAGACATTATAACAACATACTGCTGCTTTTCAAACAACATACTGCTGCTTTTCAGAGAGAAATGGTTTGATAAAATTAATTTCTCTTAGAATCGCAGTCTCTTCCATTGTCATATCAGTAGAATTATATATTACTTAAAACTTTGCCAGTATATATGTAATTGTTTTATTTTGGAGCTTTTCAAAAATAGAGTGTAAATACACAAGTTTATGCACCTTTTTTCATTAACTGTCTCCACATGAAACATACGGATGCAATATAAGTCAGGTCCGATTTTATAAGCACAAGAGCTTCTAGAACTTTTCTTCCGTTAAAGAATACATCTGATTTTAATACATGTGTAATTCTGTATTTTCTTTTTCTTTTCATATTATGGCACTGGTTTGGCTTTACAAGTGCAAGTATAACGTTATTTGTTAGTCATGATTTAATAATGAAATTATCCGAGCCTTCATTGCTGTCAGCTTTTTTTTACATGGTGCCCTGAGTCTGGCATATCAAAAACATGCATGCCACAACGGCACATGCTTTTGTGATTTTATTTGTTAATGCATGTTTTCCTTTCCATTAATGAACACCAAATGTTATTGAATGTCATACCATCTGAAGATAATTTTTCGTTTGAGATGTTTGTTTTCTAGTTACAATCTGGTTTGAAGCGAATTTTAATAATACTGTACCTACTTTTGGTTCATTTCAGAGACCTTCAAATCAGTTTCCTGATTACAATCTAAATCGGATTGTTGCTTAATCTTCTTAGTGTCTCCTCATCATTCATAAACAGATTTTAGTGATGCAAAATTATATGCAACATCATTTTATAACATGGGAGAGCATCATTATATCATGCCCCTGATTATCCACCCACCTGTTCTTCTTATAACAACAGTTAACGCCTTTGGCACCGTTAATTAAAAAAAGTCTTTTTGCTCACATAACGATCTTATTTTGTTACATGCTCACCTTTAAGTCCCTATAGACGACAAATCGACTGTGCATATGCTCTAGGCCTAGGATAACTTCCGCTGCGTAAAAGCGGACCTCCTTTTCAAGGAAGACACCATGTTGTGATAGGTGATAATGTAAGTCGCCACCATTCATTAAATCTAATATAAAGCACAGTTTTTCTGGAGTCTGAAAGGCATACGTCATACACACTATAAACGGGCTCCCTTCCTGAAATGGAAAGAAAAACGTCTGTTATACAACATACCGGTTTTATACCGAAGTGTCAACACAGCCATTTATAAAGGCTTTGACATCTTTAGAACAATAATGTTTATTTGGTTAATATTATGATTGAAAATTGAATTTTTAAATGGTTCATTCCTGTGAAGTTTGATCAAAATCTGCCAACTCATTTAAAGGAGCCTGGTGTTGAATTATCAAATTGTGGACAAAGATGGACTTTAAAACAAACATAAACGCTCATCTCTGAGCTGAATTAGTGCTCAAATGCGCTTTGCCGTAAATACAAAATAAATGTACAGTACTGTTTAATCTTATATTTCTATCCTTAAATTATACAAATTTTGCTCCAAACCTTTTGATCACCCACTTGCTTATTATTAAAAAAGTGTGTTGATCTTAAGACATATACCCTGGAACAAAAAATAAAGCCAAAACAGGGCCTGTCCATAAATACGTGATATTGTGAGAAAAGTATTAAACAGCTTAAACCTCGTGCCAGAATATGACTGACAAAAACAGACCAAAATTGCTTCATTCTGAATTAACCAGACAGAACGGTTACTGATACTTCTGAACTGGTAGAGAAAACCACATTCAGCATAAAACCTTATCTGACATATAGGTAATTACTAAATCAGTTGCTACAGTAACCAATCAATACCAATACAAAAACTGTCTGTTTATTTAAAGGCATTATAACAAATGCCATGCTTCTGCTTTGGCAACTTATTCTTTCATCTTCCTCACAAAACATCGAAGAGTCCTTAAATAGTGTATTTAAGTACTGTATATGAGAATATGCACGAAAATAAGATCTATACTGTATGAAAGTAAGATCTATATGAAAATAAGATCCAACTGAAAATATGACCTATACAAAAATAAGATCTGTAAGAAAATAAGATCTGTAGGAAATATAAAACATGTATGAAATAATATCTGTCGAGAAATAAGATCTTATTGAGAATAGTTATGATCTATACGAAAATAAGATCTGTATGAAAATAATCTCTTTATGAAAACAATCTGTGACTGAACACTCTTGGAATTAAATATTTTTGCTTAGAATAAATAAAAATAAACTCATAAATTATAGATTAAAAGAAACCGAAATACAATATATTCATTTTGTACAATCATTCCCAACACTAATACTATTTATTCCTATCAACATGTACCGTGTTATTTTTGTTAACCAGATTTTATTTGTTACACAAACTTATTTTCGTACTGTATTCCTGTGATTTTTGGAACAAGCAAGAATTTTTTTAAATGAAATTTCAATTCTGCAACCCTGTACATGTGTAAAACATTTATAATAATAACAAAGATAACAGACTGACTACAACTACTGTTTTTGCAGTATTTATGATCACCATATTTCTACTTTGTGACTAAACTCAGTATGGGCTAATTTTGCAAATGTTTACCTCTTTTTGGTATTTTTTGCGGATAATTGTAAATGTTGTTTGCAATGTGTAAATTACATTGCACTTTCTTTGCTCACTTAAAAATATTTTACTTTTAAATATATTTTCAAATTTTTTATGAAATTTAGCATGAATCTGGAGGCATAGTCCTCTGCTATATTACACTAAAAAGGATTGATCTGCTTGGGGTAAAAACTGACAGTACACATTTTACTGCAGTGCATGTGTACTAATGTTACATAATCGTGAAGATTCCCTTGAACACATAACCGCTATTTAACTTCTTTTAATGCTTTCTCGACTAATGTGCCCCTTAAGTAATTTGTACCATTATAAAATACTCTTCATCTTAAAAGCCACATTAAGTATACTCCACATGAGAGTTAATAATGGTAGATTTTGAAAATTTTAGGCATGCAGCATCGATGATGGGCGTCTGACACGACTAGATACGTCAGCAATATAGGTCAACCTTGATAACATCAGTTCATCATTAACTAAGTTTTCCACAATATTTCTTATTTGATTGCGGGTTTTACGTAGAACCTATATACTCAGTAGAGGACTCATAATTTTTGTTTTGCCGACTTTCCAGCTTTTTATTGGTGGAGGAAGACCTCAAGTCCCCTTCCGTTCACTATGTCAGACACAAACCAGTAAACAAGTAGGCCTGAACCACTGACATTCCGTAAATTAGCTCGATAACTTCCTCACATGAGCGGATTCAAACCCACAGCAATGAGGGTTAAGTGGTTTGAAGTCAATTACCGTAACCACATGGCCATGGACACTTCTTTTCCATAATGTCATAAATCACTAAAAGCACAATGATTTTCTTTACAATGATGACTAAAAGTAAAATATTTTAGTTTTGCTTTAAAATACAGTGTACCCTCTGCATAGCAACCCTCTGTACAGCAATAACCTCTCTAGAACAGCAGTATCATTTTTTTTTATGATTTTTTACAAAACTAACACTTCACAATAGATTTAACCCCTCTTGACCAACACCTCTTAACAACAACCAAACTCCATTGTGTCTCAAAGGATGTCACTCAGACGAGGTTAAACTGTATTATGCAAACTAAAAATAATATTTGTTCAGTTTACAAAATCTCCCAGTATTGCTACATATGGTACAATAATAGACGAAAAGCAATTCCTATAATGAAAGAAAATTCCTTTGAATTGTCTGTCTCTTCCAGATAAGAACAGAATCAGCTAAAGTTTGTTCATTTATTCATCCCTTAAGACATATCATGTAGTTTTCTTAAGTTGATTTACAATATAGTAACTATACCATCTCTTGGAGAAACAATCTAGCATTTTTTTGTTATAGCCCTAAGCTTTCATGTCATAGTTTCCCCTGATTTCTGGTATAAGTTCCCCCCACCCCAATTTCTGGTGTATCTAAATTAATGCCATAGCACCATGCGATATTTGTCGATATTTACAACAAGATATTGAAGATGAAGCCAAGGTATTTTTATAACACTGCATATTTGTTACGTCACTTTTCAATGGACGAGCATGTCATGTTAATATAACTTATATACACAATTGCTGTCAATTAAATTAAGTAATTTTCTTTTATTTTCTTGAAATAAAATAATTAAGCTGTATAAATTCATCATAAAAATGTTTGAAGAGTTATATGGCCACATGTATTAATGGTCATTTGCAATATAACCAAGTCTGTAAATTGTAAACAACCATTCAAACTGGGTAATATAACCTGACAATCCCTTATATTTGGTGGTTTTGCTCAAACATAGGGCTTGCACCTATGTTTCCTCAGTATTGAGAAACAGAAACTTTAAGCTACATGTAGCTAGAACCTCTCAGGTATAGACTGTATCTTTAAAGGATTTTTACATGTTTAATTGTACAGCAAAGTTTAATTGACATAGACAGCGTTATGTGGATTATATGACAAACTAACACTTCTAATTTTCTCTTTCTTAATTCCATTCTCAGACAGGAGAAGAAATTTTTTATTTTTTTTTCGTTTTTTTTTTCAAAATGCTTCACAAATGCAGCAGTAATATCATTTGACAACACCTAATTAGTAAATCTGTTGCCAACTTGATAAATCAATACGAAATACCAATGCTGTGATAGAGAAAAATTAACTTCTTGTGAATATAGTACATTACATAATCCACGTATTTTGTAAAATACGAGCAAAGTCTGTGGCAGTGCTGCATTAATATCGGAAAGTAACATACAGATTTTTGCACAGATTACCGGTCTGTTTCAATAGAATTTATACAACAGGAGAGTTCCCTGGCTTTGATCAAATTATTTAGAGGTAGAAGATGGTTTGACTGACAATTTTCAGGAACACGACTAAAAGACATGCTTTTGCAACAGGAACATGATTAAATGACATGCTTTTGCAACAGGAACACGACTAAATGACATGCTTTTGCAACATTAGTCTTAAATGAGATGTTTAACAACATGACACTTTATGGCAACACCAATTTTTTCGGCAACAGTGCCTGTTTTTGGCAATTTGACACTTTTTGGCAATTTGACACTGTTGCAACATGACAAAAATATGGAATAATATCTAGCAATGTGACACTTTTTGCATGATGTGTGTTTGGAAGGCTGAACCCTTGTGGCAACATAAATCTTTTTGGCAACATGACACTGTATGACAACATGACAATTTGTGACAACATGAAACTGATGGTTTGTAACATGAATCTGCTTGGCAACAGGACACTGTATGCATAATAACACTGAATTGCAGCAGGACACTGTGTGACATCATGGATCTGCCTGGCAACATGACAATTTGTGATAACATGACACTGTGTGGCAATTTGACACAGCAACATTAAACTATTCGGCAATATCAAACTTCCTAAACCCTTTTTTACATCTGATATATTGAGCTGTTTTTTGTTTGTTTTTTTTTTAAATTTTATTCAACAGATCTTTATTCCATTTTCTACCCACTATTGACCCTTTTAAACTGATTCAGCATTATTTCACCCAATATCAACCAATTGAACATAGTTTTAATATTCTATTTGACAATAATTATTTTCAAGTATAAGTTTAGTTGGGTTTTTTTTTTCCATCCAATAATTAACCTTTTGAACTGAGATTCCTATTAGTTGACTTTTATCCTCTATTAAATAGGCTTTATTCTTGTACTTCTCAGCCAGTATTAACCCTTTGAGCTTTATTCAAGTTGTAAAGTAATGCCAGTTTTAATCATTTTTACAGAGCTTTATTCTGGTTGTATGTTATAGCCATTATTAACCTTTTAAACTGAGCTTTAAATGCTATTTTAAACAATTAAAGTTTGTTCTCAATCTTATTCTAACCATTAAAACATTCAGCATGCTAATAATATGATTTCTTTTATTAGAATACAAACAATATTTCAAACAATTTATAACATAAGCCAGATACTAAGGTCAATTAATAAAATTTTGTTGGTTTCCCCAACAAAATCTTGGTTTAAACATATCTATTTAAGCTCAATTGCGAAACAAGTTCTATATTCCGCTTCCTGGAACCAACCAGTACTGGTGT